CCCCCCCCCAATTATGTCGCGAATTCGATTACCGAGGCAGCTATACACCTGGCTTCCACACCATTTTAGTGACCTTCATCACTGGCTAAATCATACGGAACCAACATGGGGCTACACAATCTACCGGACAACCTACACCCCGCAATCTCATACCGCTTTCCCACGTATCGTCGACCTTACCACAGCGTACATCAAGAATGGATTTTATCAGCAATACGAATCCGGCCTCCGCTATAATCCCAGGGCAGCTGAGTTCAACAAGACTCCCTTCGATGAAATGTGGGCTAAGTACAAGCCACGCGTCGTTGAAGATGCTTCCCAGTTCGACGGAGCATCGATAGATCAAGTCCGCACGCATTTTAAAGCCTGGGCAACTGGGCGAGGTATGCTCGATCACTTTCCTAGTTACCGCATATTTATTGTGATTGATGAGGAGAGTTTTCGGACTTTACAAAACGCTCCACTTCCAGAGGACTTAAAACATGTGCAGCGTCATTATGTGAAAGTCGTTGAGGCATTGGAGGAAGACCCCGAGCCGCCGTTTCCAGGGTGGATGAAGTGCTCCCTGCCCGGGATTTTCGACCTGTGGCTGATGATGCAGGATGGGGATTATCTGGAGTTAAGGTATTCGCTGAGACACCGCGGCACAGATGTTTATTGAGTTTGCCATATGATCTAGGGCTCGAAGATTACCATGACTAGACCTTAGACCGGCATAGTGTCGGTTCCGCGAACGATACCGGCTACTGCATCGAATCAATTAATGGCCTAAGACATGATTGACAGAATGTTTAGAAGAATATCACCATCGTCATAATTGCCTCTACATCCTCTATGTCAGCCTAGATTACTGTATGATTTACTTATAATTTTCCTATATATATCATTGAACCACCTGGAAAGACTTTTGTATAAGCTATAAATCTATGTATGAATCTATATGGTCACTCAGTCTTAATCTAGACCATCTAAATCAATTTCCATCTCAATGCAGCCGCCTTATACTCATCCAGAACCTTAAGAATATGTATGATATTGTATCCTATACGGCCCATATACGTCTCATATCAGCTATCTAAATCCAGTAAGCCAACAGCTTTATTTCTTCTATCACATACCAAACTACTTTGCACCTCGGCGTCCGATCTTTCCGAATGCCTTCTTGTTTGCCTATACCTACCTTTGTTTGTCAAATGCCTCTTTTCTCAGGCTGCTGTGTAATATATATAGATTGAAAATGTACCCCCTCCAGAAATTCAATCCATCTTCCTTACTCCCCCCTTCTCTCTGGGGCGTCCTTGTAGGTGTTCTAGAAATACCTTCTCAGCCATTTCCTATATTACCACTACGATGGCATCGAAATCATCAGTTGAACCTCGGGGTAAGAGTTTTACTTCAAGATATCCAAGTACTCATCAATCTGACACATTCATATAGCCAATAAACGCCCTAGGTTGAGCGATGAGTCTAGCAACGAGTCCTCTGGCCATCTTTAGAGACCAACTTCACTCTTCATTGGGACCCCATAGCCGTTGCTGCCACCCAAACTGCTTCACAAAGTAGGTTATTATGTATTCCTTTCAACTGTGATTAAATCTCTTCCTGCAGTTTCATTCTAATGAATTCGATAGCCTTCCCTACACTTGATACTTCAGGGAATCCAATGCTTAATCTTTGCAACAATGGAGTAGATAGGCTAATTGCTACCTCGCCTCCAGTCCGCAATCTTGACTGGCGTCGTGGTAGCAGAGGGCACCTTACCTCCGAGAGGAAACGTCGAGCTGCACTTGGTCAACGCTCAGGTACGGCTGCTTTGCCTGGGCAAGAGTGTATACGGTGCATAACAGGGCGTGGTCCCTTCAAATCTTGTGTTGTTTTCTATGCAGATGGTCTGAATAGGGCATTGTTTGGTGGAGCCTGTATGAACTGCTCAGTTGTTAATCCAGCGAAATGCAGCTTTCGGGGCCCTGATGTTCCAGAATGGCACATCCAGTGGATTCGTGCGAACGATATGTCTTTGCAACGCCAGCCTCATACTGTTGATCAAGTTACAGGACCTGCCTCTGTATCTGCTCATACTGGCGTTCCTTCCTCGGTCGATGAAGTATTGGCTCCTTCTACTTCAACTCGATCCAAGCAGCATGGTCCTATGTACTCTGCCAAATGGTACAGAGCCCCCCTGGATGACGGATCGCTAGCAAAAGACATCAACGGCATGATTGCCGTTCGTGAAGACCTACGGGAGGTTCGTACTCGTGTGGCATATGATATCAAGAAATTGTCCAAGTTTGCTGGGGATGGTGGATCGGAGGAGGAGGAGACTCTTGAGAATGACGAGCCGAACCCTTTTTACAAATCTGGTTCTGAGCTTGGTGATGATGATATTGGTTCCGCGCATGCCGGATCTGAGAATGATGGATCGGAGGTTGGTTCCCTCGGTGTTGGCTCTGTTGATCTAGATTCTGATGTTGTTGATTCTGTTGTTGGTTCTAATGATGTTGCTTCTGTTGTTGATTCTAATGATGTTGATTCTAATGATGTTGATGTTGGTGATGATGATGATGATGATGACGAGTAAACAATCCAGTTTCCTTTTTGTGCACGCCAAGTACTAGAAAACAATATGAAAATTTCTACTATCAATTCAAAAAGCAGAAAAGTAACACAGAAACCATTCAGCAATTCAACAATAGGGAGTACTAGTAGAAGTAGGTGGTTATAACTATATGATTATTGACTACTCGCTTGCTGCATGATACTGACTCGTCAGATATCTCGATGGCACATATATAGATATCTACTCCGTGTATAAATAATCCGAAATCATATAATTGTAATTGAATCTTGAATTATATCCTCATTTGTAGGAGAATACGTGCTTTGATACAGAACCACATTCTGAATGCGGCCTAACGAAAACGGCAATCGATCAGCGGCTCTCTGCCTTGTCTTCAGTTTAATCTCCTTGACTCTTCGACTCTCCTTGAATATCCCTAACTTTCGTTTAATTTCCGATTTCACCTTAATACTTCGCCATTTCCAGTGGCGGTGAACCAGGCCCCTTCCTGCTGACGTTTTTACCCGAATTCGCCGACCTCAGCCCCCGGGGCCGCATCACCGGCTTGATCTCACCTCGCTGGACGAGCATACTGTCCAGTTCCCTTCTCTCGAGTTTCCTAATACCCTATACCGGGCTAAATGCTCCCCGTTGTCTGTTAGCGCGTGTAAATTCAGGCGTTTGCCCCACCGGACATGCCCACTTGCGATCGACCGACCTGCAGAACATAACAATATGACATCCCACCTCGAAGATCGGGCCACCACTTCGGCCTCCGATATCCCTTTGAAAGATCTCGAATCTGCCTCCTCAGAACCCGACTCGACGATCACAGCTCGCTGGAATGGCTTCTCGCACTTTCACCCCTCAAACATCCTCGCACATCCCGAGGGACTGGCGCCGAAGATGTCACAAGAAGACTGGCTGGCATATTCTGAGGACACATGGCACAAGTTGACACTTGCGCTCACGCCAAGTTTCCTACAACACCTGGTGGGCAGTTCGCCACCCCAGCCTACGAAGCTCCACGCCATCGCGGCTCTGGACGGGCTACGTGGCTGGGCCTGTCTCCTGGTCTTCAACTTCCATTTCCTTTTCACATACACATGGAAGGTTGCGATAGGATGGGGATTTGGTGGGGAGAACTTTGGAATTCACCAATTGCCCTTCCTCCATATGCTGATCTCTGGTCACATTATGGTGGCCATCTTCTTCGTCCTCTTCGGCTACGTTCTGTCATATAAACCGTTGAAAACGATTCGGAGCCGGTCCTTCGATCAAACTTTCACTGTGCTTGCGTCGGGAACCTTCCGCCGAGCATTTCGTCTATATATCCCCGCAATTGCTGGAATTCTTTGCGTCTTTGTGGCTGTACGTCTCGGGCTGTACAATTACTCCCATGCCGTCATTAAGGAGGGACACACAATCCTTGGCACTAACGAGCAACATCCACATGTGTACAAATCCTTCTCGAAACAAAGCGATGACTTGTGGGTCACTTTAGCGACCCTGATGAACCCATTTGACTTTGGGCTCTACTACAACTATTACAATCCGCACCTTTGGACAATTCCTCTCGAATTCCGCTCCTCACTCATCCTATTCATCGTCATCATGGGGACATCACGCTTGGTGGCACCTGTTCGCATGACAGTAGTTTCTGGCTTGACTTGGTTCTGCATGCGATACGGTCGCTGGGAAATCGTCTTGTTCCTATTTGGCATGCTGATGGCCGAAGTGGATCTCATTAATGGAACCTGGGAGCCATCCGCACGACCGGCGGTAGGGGACGACAAAACAACCATTCGCCTCGGCCCTGGCAGCAAAACCATCATCAGAGTCTCCCGCCGCGGGATATGGATCTCACTCTTCGTGGTCGGTCTGTACTTCGGTTCGTGTCCCAACATTGGTTTCAAATGGACGCCTTTCTACAGCTGGCTGTGGCACATCACCCCCAAGACCTACCCAGAGCCGCACCGCTTTGCCCAGACGATCGGAGCCGTCTTCATCGTCTTCTCTATCAACCACTCCCCTGACATCCAGAAACTCTTCACAAATCCCTTCTCCCAATACCTAGGCAAAATCTCATTTGCATTCTACGTCGTCCACGGCCCCGTTCTCCACTGCCTAGGCTACTCCATCATGCCCAACATTTGGAAACTCACCGGCAAGGAGACCAATTTCCAATATTGCCTCGGTTTCCTCATTGGCTGGCTGATCTGCCTTCCAGTCTCCATCTGGCTGGGCGATGTGTTCTGGCGCGCTGTGGACATCCCCAGCGTCAAGTTCGCACGCTCGCTCGAAGATCGTCTCATTTTCAAGGGTCCGACACTCGGTCGCCCGATCCTCGCTACCCGTGCAGAGTGAAATTGTTCATTGACTTAGCATGAACCTGTTTATATTAGACTGCGATTGGTCAGCGGTTATTTTTCTCTGTCTTGCTGCACCTGTACTTCATATGATACCTGCTCGCTGGGCGAGCCGTTTTGGCTATTCTAACTACATTGGACTGTCGATATATTCATACTCCTGTTACTTAGATTCGTGATTGAAGCAAGACTGTCAAGGCATACACTCCTTGAACGGCAAATGGAATTAGATGCGTATCTCATACAAGCAGTGAAATGAATAATTTCTTAACTACCAAGGTATACGAACATTACAATGGTTCATGTAGAATGGGTAGCCTAAGGTCATTCTCGGCCAATAGCAAATGGTACATATCCAATGTATAGTTCATTCATTCGTTCACTCGTACCAAACAAGTCAGAAGTATGGCCAATCAATAGACACAAGAGTCGCCCACAAAGATCAGCAGGTTCTCACTCGACCTATGCAAAGAGCGTACCGGGTCCGACACAGAGAAGCCGACCGGTACTAGCGAAGCACACAAACAGCAAAACAAAGTAAAATAGGAGATGCTGTGCGCACGCGAAGCAATAGATCGCGGCAAACAGAAACAAATATCAGAGAGATTGGACCATCTAATGCAAGAGCCATGGTTGTCGGAAAGCTCCAGGGAAGAGAAGAGATGTCGTAAGGAAATCAAGACCTCTTTTTTACTTAACTCATAACGCTACGCCCGTTAGTCCTCGTCCACCGCACACTCCCAGCCATTCCCGTGGCTGGCCGGTGTGATTGGGCCCGCCTTGTGGGGACCAGCTGATGTTGGACACTTCGTATTCGCTCTGCCAGACGCCGGCTGGGCCGCGTTCCGAGGTTGTGGAAGGCGTTGCTCCTGGGGTAGCAGAGGGAGGGGAAGCGACTGGTGCAGCATTGTGCTGGTTGATGAGATCCCAAAGGAGAACCATGCTGTCGTCGCCGCCGGATGCGAGAATGCCGCGACGGCTTGGAGACCACTCTACGCAGTTCAAGGCAGCTGAATGGCCCTTCAGTTCCAATAGGGCTTGGCCTGGTTGTCTGACGTCGAGAACGCGGACAACACTGGAGTCCTGTGAGAAAGTTGCCAGGAGATGGGCATCATGGGGGGATGCTGGGAGATTGTGTTAACTTGTAATGATGCACTAGATTGTGGTCACGTCGTCCATACCTGCGATTCTCAACAAAGGCGGAGGGTAGAGGCCAGTCTGTGATTGTCCAGGGGGGCTAGAGCTCCCGGGGGTTATCACTGCTGAATATATTGTCAGTATTCAGAGCACATAATTACATTCTAGCAGACACTTACGCTTCTCGCTCTTATCCGTCGGCTCGTAAATGATTGTGCTATGCTCGAGGCTTCGCAAATCAAACATTCGCACGCTGCCATCAGCGCCACAGCTTACAAACACATCGACACTGTTGGCGCAGAAGCGAACGTCATACACCTCCTTATCGTGGGCAATCAATTGCGTCTTCGCTGTCAATGTGGGAATATCCCAAATGGTGCAAGTTGTGTCAATGCTCGAGGTAATGATCAGACTTGGAGAAATTGTGTTCCAGTCAAGAGACGTGATGGGAGCAGTGTGCTCAGGGGATTTTGAGTTAGACAGCAAAGCCAGCGGAGAAAGTTTGGAGGTGGCGGGCTCTCGCTGGTTCATGGGACGAGTGATCGAGTTCGAGCTCTGGAGAGGCTGAGAATTCGGCAATGACCATAAGCGAAGGTGATCTCCTGACGTGGCCAGCAAATCAGTCGATTGCTTCTGAGATGAAGGAGGCTCCCAGAGGATGCGGGTAACCGGGTAAGAGTGTGTCGCCTCAGCAGTTTTCACGTATTCCAGTTTTATCTCCCCCGCAGCCGCATCTGGGGTGTCGGGATCTGGTTGCGTCCAGTGTGCATCGAGGATTTGAATCTGTTAACTGGTTAGCATGAACATATTCATCCATGGAGCGAATGCACATACATAGTTGTGACTGTCTTCTAAATAGCTTCCCATGGCTAGCTTTCCACCAAAGCCCGAGTTGCCTGTGATGGGCCATTTGCACCAATCCACTGCGTATATAGGCCACGGTGCCACGTAATTGCTGTTGGTCGGCACCTGGTTGTCTCCGTTGGTGTAAGGCATCGATGATATTCCGGGGTTCATAAGTGCCTCGCTCAACATGTGTTCACCAGATGGCCTGATATCAGACAGACCCAGGGGAGAGTACTTGGAGCCTTGCGGGGTGTGAGGCGGAAATGCTCCAGGAGAGGAGGGGTATTTGGAGCCATCGGGCGCACCATGTTGTTTGTACATGGATTGGTCGAACCCTGCCGGGCTAGATCGTGAATGTCCATGTGAATTAATCATGCTGGCTCGGTGGTTTGTTTGCGACGATGACTGTGGCATGGTAGGGACGACTGATGGAGCAGTATTTATTGATACTGCAGCCGGACGGTTCTGATTCCCTGGCTGCAAGGCTCCGGGGAGGGCAGTGCTGCTGTTGTTCCCGTCGCCGCCGTACTGAGAACTCTGTTGTAGGTTGATCGAGGGAAGTCGGGCACCTGCGTCCGGTGTGGTGGGATACTCGTGCAAGGAGGATTGGCGGGACATGTTTGGATTGACTAGCCCGGTCGATGGAATGTGAAGCTCCTCCGGCTGGCGACTGAACGCAGCTGAGCGCCGGTGGGAGTCATAGGAGGCGGGATTCGACATGATGCAGTCTATGCTGAAGAGCAAGAGCGCCGTCTATGCAGGGGATGGTGCGATGGATCGTAGTTGGAGGATGAGCTCCACTATTTCTCGATCGAGATCAGTGAAGGAGGTTGGGGGATGCACCAAATTGGGGATATAGCGGGGCTTCGAAGGAGCTCCAACCAGAGGACCGTGTCAGCCAGATATCATTCCAGCTTATCAGGTCACTTGGCTCGCAATGGCATCCTCATCTCAATCGGAGAGTTGTAGAGTGGAGGACAGAGGGCGGTCATCCCACGAGAGCAGCTGACTCAGCCGGGTACCCCAGCCTGGGATGGGGATAGATCCGATCACTTCTTCACGGTGGTGGTTTCTTTTGCTTCTGTGATTACTGTTGTTTCTCTGTGATTTTCTTTTCTTTGTTGATCTTCTACCTCTTCACTCCAGTATTAACCCCAGTGCTTGTTACTGTAGTTATATATTCTTCACATCATGGCTTCCGATCACACCAAATCACCCTCGGCTTTACTACTACTTCCCCCGCCTCCAGCCTTTTCTTTTACCCAAGTCAAAGATGCATTCCAGCCATCCTTGGTGGATGTCTACACTAAGCTTTCAAATGCCTTGACTGGGTCCAATCGTACAGCCGTATTGGATATTGCTCTGGCCATCCCAGATCTTCTTTCCCCGAGTTGCCAACCTCGGGCTAAAGTGTTTGCACAACTCCAACATTACCTGACCAGCGTCTATACCCTGGTTGGTATTGTCTGTGCAACACAAAATATTGAATTGGATTCTCCAGGTGGCATTGATACCCGGGTGGTATTTATTGATGCAAGTGAGAACACCTCGGCCATCCAGGCCTCTGATAGCCCTCGCTTTGGGCCCATTCTGGACATCCAATCACTAGCAAATTCAGGGCGCTGTTGGGATAATGTTTTCTATTTATCCAACACAAGTGGCCAAACTTTGGCTAAATGCTTCACCAACAGTGTTGGCAGCCAGCCCCCGGACGGCACGGCGGCAAGCATGCAAGCCGTCACAAGCAACCCTGACTGGGTGGTCTCTGACCGTCTGTTAATTCCTGACGACCAACAATCATCCAATCCATACTATTCCGTGGTTGTTGGTGGCACATTTGATCACCTTCATGTTGGTCACAAGCTCTTGCTCACAGCAGTGGCATTGGTACTGGAACCGCTGGACCGGGAACAGGAGGGCCGCCTGACCATCGGAGTGACCGGGGATGCGCTGTTGGTGAATAAAAAATATGCCGAATTTCTCGAGAGTTGGGAGGAGCGTTGGCAGAGTACTGCAGATTTTCTGACGGCCATTATGGATTTCTCGCCTGAAACGAAATCGCCGCAGATCGAACGTGCTTTTGTGCCAGGTCCCAATGGGAAGACTGTCCTCGTAAGGATCCAACCCAACCTGGCGTTTGAATTTGTGGAGATCTCTGATCCATTTGGTCCCACGATTACCGAGCAGAACCTTGGAGCAATTGTTGTCTCGAAGGAGACGCACTCAGGAGGGGCGGCCGTCAACGAAGAGCGGGTGAAGAAGGGATGGAAAGGCCTTGCCGTATTCGAGGTGGATGTACTCCAATCTGGAGAGGCATCCACAGCCACTGATGTCGAGGGCTTCGAGTCCAAAATCAGCAGCACGGATATCAGACGGCGCCGAGTCCATCTCGCGAAGGTCTGATAAGTACATACACACACGGCACGTAATGAGACGGGAGATCCAACAGCTAGTAGATAATCTCTCAAACACTTGTACATACATTAGTTCATCTTGATTTCAGCCATTAATCCCCAATCAATGGTTGCTTGTCTCTTGGGCAGACACATAATCCACACGCATGGTCCATCACTCTGCATGATGTGACGACCTCCCGGCGGGGTCTGCATTGGCCCCTCCAACACTACTCGCTCTCGTTGAATGGTCTCTCCTGCAGGTTCGCACACTGGCTGGCCGCAGAGTCAATCAATCATGTGATTCCTGTGTGGCAGCGTCACCAATGAAATCAACCCGATCGGGTCAGAGAGCCCGGCTTGTCAGTGCAGAGGGCGCTAAATCAGGCACTTGACGATCGTCCCCGGTCGCGAAATCAATCGTTAGGGCGAGAGCTCTCGACATGCATGGTGAGACAAGTCAACTGTCATACTAGTGTCTCCAGGAGAACAACGACGAGTCGAGTATTAGATATGGTTTTTTATTTTATTTTTATTCCCCATCTCCCCCCCCCTCTTCACAATTTCCTCCGTGACTTGTCTCTCCGGTCCTGGGGACGGGTTAAGAGCGTCGACTTTCCCTCAATTCCTCTATATTTCCATGTTGCTGCTACTTCGTCAAGCAGCCGATGCTTCGGCTGCGCGCGCCGATCATGGCTCAGCCACGTCACATTTATGATCTTGCTGACGAACTACTGAGCGAGATCCTGTCCTTTCTTCTCGAACCCGCACCTCGAGCTCTAAACGGCAGATTCAATCGAACTGGACATACTTCCAGGCCTAGCGACCACGAGCATGGCGAAGTATCCGATCTTGATCACTTTCGACTCGTCTGCAAGCGCTTCATGCAAATCGGCACCCCTTACAAGTTCAATCGTTTCACTTTACGCTTTTCTGAGCACGGCTTCCGGCGACTAGATGAGCTGGTAGACATGCAGCTGGCCTACTATGTGAAGACCATCACATACATGGTCCGACCCTTTTATCAAGGAAGCGGTACAAGCTCTTCAATCTCTCATAAACAAGCGAGAAAATTGACAAATAATAAAATACAGGATGGGCCCGGACACTGCGAACTTTGGGGTCAGAGAATCCCGAACTATCCCAGCTACATAGCCGCCGACTGCGCGAACAAACCAATTTAACTGAAACCAACAATGACCAAATCCGCCTCCGCCGCGCAATCTCATCATTTTCGGCTCTACAGGAGATAAAACTTCTCAGACTCCAAGATGAAGCAGATGAATACCTTATCGACTTTATACGTGACCATTCACTGGGAACCGGCACCAGCACCACAACAAGCATCCGCTTCGACTGGGAAACCGCCTGTTCGCGCGCCGTGACAAACCTCAGCGTCGCCCTCCTGGACTCGAAATGCAGCTCCATCCGCTTCACAGGGCCTCAAATCAGCCCTGAAGCAACCCTCCAGCTCCTCCGTGCCCCATCAACAACGCTCGCCGCCATGGGCGGACGCCTCACAAGCCTTGACATAAACTTCCACCTAACGACCGACATCACCACAGCCATGGCCGACCTCTCTGAAGTCTTCCGTCGCTGCTTCGTCGCAGCCAACAACCTCATCGCCATCCACATCGGCTTCCTCGGCAAAACACCCCTAGACCTCGATCTCGAGTTACTCTTCCACCACATCCGCTGGAAAACCCTCCGCAAACTCAGCATCCAAGGCTGGCGTCTGAGCGCAGGTGAGATCATCGCACTGGCACGTCGTCACAGTCCCCAGTTACGTGATTTCCGCCTACTCGGGGTCTACCTCCGGCCTGGCGGCTTGTGGCGCGATGTGCTGGCTGTCCTGCGTGATGAAATGGAGCAGCTAGAGCGCCTGGTTCTGAAGGATATTGATTACGCTGCACACTTTGATTCGGTGGCTGTCTCGAACGGTGTCGAGGTATTTGATGACTACCCTGGCCCTGTGCCATCTTCTTTTACAGTTGCGACTGGTACGCCCTCGGCTGGTCAGTCGCCGACTACTGTCCCGCTCGCGTCTGATGGCTTCCCTTCTTTGGTCAATGGGAGGCGATTGCCGTTGAGGCGGACTTCGCTTGAGAGACTGCGTGCTTTGTCTAGTGAGGACTTGGGGGATGACGGTGTGCATGTCTTGCCTGAGCAGATGCCTCTTTGGGAGGCGTGGGTTCTTTCTGCTCCGCATCAAGTGAAAAAGAATGGTCGATCACATTGGAGTATGTAGAAGGGGAGGGGGAGGAGCTTAGAGAGATGTTTAAAACGTGATCAATACTATTTTAAATGTTTTTTGGAGTTGGGGGCTGTTTGAATTCCCTTTTTGACGACTACGACTAGCGATTAATCTTGAACCCTACAAAGATAAGATTATATCTCTTTCTTAAACTGGCGTATCTTCTAGATCTATATATAATACTCTACGCGAGAGTTATTACCTTAGTATTAGACGCCTTAGAATATAGGGGATTAAGCCTCGACGACAATAGGAACCATACATAACTGGTCTTCCGCATAATCCATTTTGGGTCGAAAGCTCAACCCAGACCCAACCCAGACCCAGTTTCTACATAAAAGGGGGTCTTGGCAGTCTTGCTTAGTTTGTAACCCAATTTGGGGCCCCAGACCCATTACCGAATCCTTCGACCCAACCCAGACTGGGTTGGGTCTGGATTTTACTGGGTCGTGCGGAAGACTATATATAACTACAAATGAAGCTTTATATTCACAATTAAAGACGCTTGTCTTCTAAGTTGACCTTTCCGACAAGTGGATCACAGTAACCCTCGAAACGAAGGGCTTTAATATTACTAATAACTATTTAGTTTCCGAGGTTCTTACCCCTGGCCGGGATATATCTCGCCTACTTAGACAGTGAGAGTGGATCTAAATTACTGCCTGGCACTATTAACCAATGAGAGAGTTGTATGAACCAGTAGCATACTTAGTCTAGACTTGCATGCGTTAGAGCCGTTCGATTATGGATTTAGGTACAATTACATTGTTTCTAAGACACGAATTTCGTAGTAACGTGTACTGCATTATTAACATTGATCAAAAACATAAGGATATCTGTGTAAGGATGCAATCTTTAGGGTATCATGAAACAGAAGTATGTTAAAGGAGAACCAACCCTACACCAATTATTTTCAAAAGCCCCCTATGCGTAGCACTGGGGCCAGTCACCGCCGGAGCGTGCAAAGGAAAGCCCCTTGACGAAATCGCGACGGCGACAACGGCCAAGTTTATCGGTCGGGCAACCGTGCAGCGGAACAACACGGTCGTTAACGAGGACTCGCACAAGCGGCTCCGGGTCGCGACGACATTGCATCATCTCGACATAAGCACGAGCACCGAAAGGCACCGTCCAGGCAGCTGAGAAGCCGTCTGTTTCGCTAGTAGACTGGGCCTGGGTAGTCGAAAGAGGAGCGGTGCCGTTGTACAGTCCCAGGGCAAAGAAGAACGGAATCATTCCATTGTCGTGCGTGAAGTCTGCGTACATGGTATAGTTGAGGGGGAATGTCGCAGCGCCGGGGGCATCGAGCGTGCGGTTTGTGCTTGTGTTGTCCACCACTGGGGTGTGGGTGAGACGGGCGATGAGTTCGTTCACGAAACCGACACCCTGGGTGGGGCCAAGTGGGGTGCCTGCGCCATAGCCGTAGTACTTGCTCAGTGACTGGAGATAATCGTATTGGTTCCATTCGGTTTGGGTGAAGAGGTTGCAGAATGGAGATAGCTTGGATCCATCGGCAGTCATGGATACTGTATCGAAGGGACAAATGTCCATCAGATTGATAACATCGATGATCTCGAGTTCAATGCCGGGGAGATTGGCCTCGAGACGGGCTTTGATGGGAGGCACAAAGACTGCCATGTATTCTTCTTCCGCCTCGTCGCCGAGCTTACTTTCTTCGAACTTGGGGCAGATATCGCTGTGGTTCAGAGTGTTGTTGGCGCCAGACTCTTCGGAGATGATGACGTTGGTCTTGGGGCTTGGTTGACGGTGATTGGCATGTTTGTCATTGGACTTTGCTTGCTGGAAACCCTTGATAAAGTTCACTCCGGAAGCCACGACTCGCGCCGAGTCAGATGAGCGAATGAAGGGCACGGCCTTCTTGGCCAACGCCTCATAGCGCTGGTAAAACTTGGTGCCCGAGTTCACCATCTGGTTCTCTCCAAAAGGTACCAAGTCATCACCGCCCATGGTGTAGTTGTATGAGCGGATGAATTTCGTGTTGCCCTTGAATTCAGTCGCGTTCGCTTGAATGCTTTTAACGAGCTTGGCATACGCCTTGCTCTTTTTCGCCGATGGGAATCGAGCACCATGACGGGAGATCACCTGAGCAAAGGTGATCTGGCAATCGTGAGGTACCTTATCTGAGATGTCCGACTCGTCGGAAAGAGAGAAATAAGGCGCATACTGGCCCCACTTGTGTGAGAGCTTAGAGTTGCATTGATAACCGCCGTCGACAGTATTGCAGGCATGGTCGTGATGCGATGATCTCTTCGACTTGTCAATGGGGGAAGCCACAGGTAGATCAGGCCGGATTCTGGCATGCGAGGGGGGGTTGCACTGGGATCCTCTCACGAAGTACACAAACAGGGCGAAAGCACCCAGCAGGGACACGAGGGTCACTGTACGCCACTTGTGGGACGATTTCTGGCCTTGCTGCTTCTGGGCTTGTTCTTGGATCTCTCCAAGCAGGCCTTCTTCCTCATGGTTTTCTTTGGAGAACGCTGCCATTGCACCGGTTGGATGAGTAGAGGATACTGCAACAAGTACGTGGAACCTGCAAGGATATAGAATACGAAAAAAGGGGGAAATCAGTCCATTTTTAAATGTCGACCTGATCTAAAGCATTTGGGTTAACCCTTGCGGACGTTGTGCTCGTGAGTGGTTTGGTCCCGCTGATTGGTCGGTCGTTCTTGCATGAAGGTGAAACACGTGGCCCCGGAAATGCCCTGCCCCGACGAGATACTTTGCAGTACTTTACTGTCCATATGTTTTAGTATGCAAGTGGATGTTACTAGAGGTACCTATTTTATATATTAGCCCAACGATAGCCTTCCACATGTGGTGATCTCCCCAATTCTCGCCCTACAAGGACAATTTTATGTGCAACATGGTCCTCAATGCATATCAATCTACATATTTTCTTTCCCTCCGGGGCAGTCTCGGCCAATTGGCCCGCTATGTCTTACGTTGGCTTCCAAGGCTAGCTTGTTCCTTCCAAGCATCCAAGGTTACTCCTGTGCATAGAGTTTTTGTGGCTCTCCCGAGCTCGCTTAAGGTGGAGCCCTTCTACATATCTCCGTCCCTATCAGATGAGATCGCCTTTCCCCTAAACTCATTTAGTGTATTGAAATGCAGGGGCATTGGAAGAAAAGAGGGAATAAAACGTTGTTGATCATTGCTAGCGACCTCGGGTTACTACTTGGCACATGTATATATTTTGCGTACCACCTCCCCTGCCATCTCCCCTGTCGATATGCTATGCCAAGAAAATATTTTCAACCAACTACAAGAAACGAAGGCCACATGTGCACTGAATTGAGTTTCTAGCTGCAATATAGTTTAAATATTATAGAAGAAATACGAGGAATATTAAGCGAGCGGGCATTGTATACACGCCTACTATGGGTCTATCCGAGTACTACCGAGGTATATGTAGGTGATAGACTAGACCAAAAGTCATCGGTGTAAAAGGCCGCGTTGCTGCATCGAGAAGATTAAGGCATGATCATCAGTTTCAGAGATCAGCAGACACGTACGGAGTAGATCATATGTGGATCGAAGATCAATCTGACCGAGAGCCCATAACGGTGTCAAGCGTACGGAATACCGACGCTACTACGGAGTACTCCGTACCTGCATAAGGGGATACTTGAGATAAGTATCCAATCGGAGAATAGAGACTAAACATATACCATATGCTGTAATACAAAGTAACATACTCCACATGCAACATAATAAAAAAATAATACATAGCTACTTCATAGGAGAAGTAGCCCACAAAGGTAGCAAATGTTGTACATAGAATCCACACCCATGGTGTACTCCACTCACACCACCTCAACTGTAACGGTATAATCATCTCCCTTCTGCCCAACCACAGTGATTGTCACTCCATCTCCCGAGGCAAACGTTTTCCGGTCCGCCTCGGTCGTGAAATGGGCATCATTGAGTTCATCCCCTTCACAACCACCAGAGCTTGGGGTTGCATCATGAACCCGAATTGGACCTTGTCCCGAAGCCAGGGATGTTGATACGGTGTAGATAAGCACTCCTGCACTGCAAGCCTTGCTATCCGCGCCAGCCTTGGCTCTTACCTCGGCGACAATAGCAGTGGTCTCATCCCGCCTCACAACGACTCCCTTGACGCCCTCCTTGGTTCCAACGGGGGTAATGGTGTGAGTTGTCGATCCAGCGCCGCTCACACAATCAAACTGATCATCGGAAAACCATCCCAACTTCCACTTGTGCCATGCAAAGTAATCCGGAAGCGCCCCGCTAATCAAACCCATAATGTCATGCCCGCCAACCCACACAGTGGTGCTGGCGCCAGAACCATCTGAGGGATACAGATCCGGCAAACCCATTGTGTGTCCGGTCTCGTGGTTCATGACCAGGAAGCCCCATGCGTCAGGAGCGTCTTGGCCGAAGGTGACAGTCTTACTGATCACAGTCCCATCCCCGGCCGTCAATTCGCCCATGTATGTAGGCGAGAACGAGATGTGCTTTGCTGCCTTGGTCGGGACGATGTAGAGAACATCGGTGCCAGCGAAGTTGATGGTCGTGCCGACCGAGTTGAGCGCGTCTTGGATGTACTTTGCGAGAAGCTCAGAGGTAATCTCTCGGTCGTAGGCGTAGGTGCTGGAGGCCACGGGCATGCGATAGAAGCGGGATTTGTCGGCAGTGACGTTGAGGGTAAGTTGACCAAAGGAGGAGTTGGAGTACCAGTCTGGTGCACCGGGAATGAAGAGCTGGTGCAATTCATCGGTGGCTTCTGAGGCCGGTGCATCAGGGAAGTCAACGAAAATCATGTAGGCGTTGAGGGTGCCTGTGCTTGGGGCAAAAGTCTGATCTGTAGCACCGATACCCTCGCTGAGATCCACTGAAGTCGGCTTGAGCTTGCAGGAGCCAGCTACGGCAGCGCCTGAGTCGACAGCACGAGCATGATGATGTTGGTGCGCAAATCTAGGCTTGAGAGTAGACGAAGAAACGGAAGGGCACGCCTCGACAACCTGTGTCAAGAGGCAGAGCAAGCCCAAAGGAGCGAGCCTTGCTAGCTGGTTGAATTGGGCTTTCATCTGGACGACTCTCTTGATTTGGAGGATTTGTGCCTTGCATCATGACTGGCAATTGTGGATTTTATAGTAAGGAAGAGCTCTCTGTTCCAGGTGAGACACGAGTTGGAGAAAAGTCATGATGAAACAATTAGGACAGGTGAAAGGGCTCCTTAGTCTCATATTCATCAGCCAAGGCCTATTAGCCGTCTAGAATAAAGAGAAGCAACTACAACATAGTAGACCGAGCTTCGCTGATCACACTACTTTTATTGTCACATAGTCTTGGCTTCGTACTCGTACAAGAAATATGTCGACTATCTGTACATACTTATGCCATATGTAGTATATGTGATCAATTCTTCTAGCAACGTCAAGTAGTACGGAGGCATCTACTAACCTTCTTTCGACACGGATATGCCGGAATACCTGGTGGTTTCCGAGTTTTTTGTTTTGCTCCTTTTTCCATACAATTTGGGAGAGCGGGGGGCTGCATCCCGAGTGGGGTTTTCAGGGACCAAGGGGCTGGCTAAGATACTAAAAGGGGAATTAGATCACGCTGTGGGGGTAGATACACGTGACGCCAAGGCTGTCTCATTTTATGTGTACATAGGTAGTAGTATGTACCGAGTATTCCAGGGTGATTATTCAAAAGGTCCAAGTCTAACGAGCTCAGATTCCATCTAGGGGCCGTAAAGGTTCTCAGCGACAAGAAAGTCCTTGACACTAATGGGCTCGTATTCTCCCGCTAGAGACAGACAGTGAACCATTGTATGTCCCTCAGTATCAGTCAGCCGATGATTCAGGCCTCCTTGAACCAAGAAACGGACCATGTTCCGGAGCGAATTTCTCGCAGCCAGGTGAAGCGCTGTCTTTCCACCTGGGGCAGTGCGGGTATGGATATCCGCCCCAGCCGATAGAAGCGCTTTTGCCCTCTTAATGCCACCACTGCTAGCGGCGCAGTGGAGGGGAAAGATCATGTCGGATGGGGTAGTATTTCCTTTCGAGGTCCAGTACATATTCGTGCGGGATGCCTGTGAAAGCCATCCCCCAAAGTGCAAAATCCTACTGTCTGCCAGTGCCATTACATCAGCACCATGTTGAATAAGACTCTCGACAAGGCTGGAATCGTCCAGTCCATCTCTAGTTCGAGAGTGGAATCTTTGTTATAAGCAGCTGCTAGATGAAGAGGTGAATGATTTCCTGGAGATGATGCGATTGACGGATTCGCCCCGTGTTCAAGTAAGTACTTGGCCATTGCCACCTGGTTCTTGCACGCAGCAAAGTGTAGTGGAGTCCAATTATGACAGTCAAGATCGTCAATGGTAAGATTGCTGTTATCAAGGATCCATTTGAAAGTCTTGATTTTCCCAGCTTCGGCTGCCAGATGTAAAACAGAAGCTTTCCACTTAGTCCGACAGTGGATGTCAGCACCCGCTGCGACGAGCATCCGCACTGTTTTCAAGGAGCAAGAAGAGGTAGCGACAAGTAAAACTGTCTCTCCAAATAAGCCTTTCTGGTGAAGATCGGGTGATGACTTGAGTAATTCTTTAATAGCGGCTTCATTGTCGGCACCAGCCGCCATCAAAATAGGTGTGTCACCCGTAGTGGTTAAGGCATTGACATCCGCGCCTGATGCGAGTAAAACCGCAGCACCGGCAGTCAATTCTGTACTCCAGTCGGAAGACTAGCAGCATGATGTAATGGCGTCTCCCAATGAGAATTCTCAAGGTTAATTGTGGCACCTTCCTGCACCAACAACTGAAGACATTCCAAGCGGCCCAAGTGGCAGCGCGGTGAATTGGCTCGTCACCTTGATGACTTGGCCAAGCAGTGCCCTTGTAGCCAAGTTTCTTGCGGTACTCTATAAGCATTTTTAAGATTTCCACACAGCCCTGACCGGCTGCTATGAGCAACTCGTCGTCATCCAAATCGGGGCCGGGGTTACTCGGAGATTGGACGTGATATTGGATGAGTAGTTGTGTAATTTCGCGTCTGCCTAGCCCGACAGCGGTTTGCAATGGGGCTCTCTCTGAGATGCCATCAGGTGAACACCATCTGCGAGTGCGTTGACCTTGGCGATATCGTTCTTGCGGATGGCTCGAAGGAGCTTCCTTTCCCGCTTTTTCTGCAGCCGGATGGTGTAGCCCTGGTCATAGTTCTCTTGATCTAATAGGCCAGTAAATAGGTCCGACATGCTGTTAAAAAGAAAAGTCCGATATTCTGGGAAAGGAGGGAGTAAAGTCAAGATTAATATATATCGCATGTTAGTCACATGATAACTCCCCAGACAACCCTGTCACCTGTGTGTCTTTCCATTAAGTATGTTTTCCTATATCGTCAGCTATGTATATTTGGGGGATTTAATCAACATATCAATCGGTATCAATCGGCATTAACTACCGTGGGTCTACAAAAGATACCTGATTTCTAGATTTCTTGTATGACTTGCCCATACTAAACGCACCAACATTGATAGTAGTGTTGATACCTTTGGTTCTCTTACGCAGATATAGTAAATATTCACTATTTAAGTAGAGCTCTAAATAGAACTAGATCTAAGTATGTTATAGAACTAGAAAATAAAAGGAGTTGAACAATTCGATTCTGTAGTTCGGCTGCGGGGGACTCCAACCAATCAGAATGCCCGGGGTTGCCGAGACGCGCCCGACCCAAACATTCCAACTTCGCTCCAAAACAAACCACCCCCAATCTTCAACTTCACCCTTTTACTATTAGAATGCCTCCAATGAACAGAAATATTGGGTTACATGACGATTCATTTTCGCTCACCAATTTGGACGACGAAATAATGGGCACTTCAACACGACGTGTCGATGAGGAGCTTGACTACGATATTAACACATCAACACTTGACCGTGCTTTCCCCGAATTTTCGCAAATACAGACCTCCGAAGAGGAAGAACAGGAGGAACAGGAGCTGGACGACGATCTTTTACATAGCGACCTCGAAATGTCCGTTGAGGTGGGACGCGGTGCTGGAAAACTAGAACGCGACGACTCGCGCAGCTCTATGATGAGCTTCGAGAACAGTGTACGCTCATCTTCGCCCGCTATGCGCGTTGAATACCCCACACCACAAAAGCCGGTTGCTGCCACGCGCCCATCGCGTCGGGCAGTCAGTGAAAACCTACGAAAGAACGCTCAGGTGCGACGAGCGACCCAAGCGCAGAAAGAAACCATGAACTCACAAGTCTCGAAGGCTCAACGCGACCAGCGTCGGACATTCTCCGATATGCATGCGAAAGTCCGTGACAGCTACGAGGGTTCATTTTTGGGAGACGAACGACCTGCTCCTATCACCACGAAGACGCGTTCGACGCGTTTTGGAAACGCAAACACCTCGCAGGAAATTGCGGACGCAATTGAGCGAGCTTCGCGGGATGCTTACGCGAAGGAACTCCGCAAATCAGCTCCCAGCACAGCAGGAACTCCCCGCAAGAGCAGTGCAAATGCAACCAACACTAACACCAACATTATTGGTGATACCATTACCCATCAATCATTCCTTCTTCCCGACCTCCCTAATATCTCTGAACTCGTCTCCGGTGTATATGAAGATGGCACACCTGTTTACTCCCGACAGGGCAAGATGCGCTCTACCCGATTTGTCTCTCCACTTCATGATCACACAGACGTGTCTCTCCCCCATGAGCACATGCCGTTGGATGCAGTGCCTGTCCCCGAAGATGAGAAGGCCTTGTTTGTTCATCTGAGACTACTTCAGGATAAAGTGGCGGAACTCGAGATGTTCAAATCCGAGGCAGAGAGAAGAATGGACAGTTACCGTCAAGAGAATTCATCTTTGAAAGCAAACAGACCTCGCCAGTCATCGGCGAAGTATGAATCGGAGGACAAAAAGGGATCTAAGCGCTTAGAACATGAGAACCAGAAGTTAGATGCAGCCAATCTCGCTTTACAAAACCAGTTGGACATTGCCGATCGAAAGGCTCAAGTCCAAGAGTCTGCCATCAAGCGCTTGAACCATGACAGAGAGTCGGCTATCTCACAACTTGGAGCCGCTTATCTCGAAACTCGTGAGCTGAAGGCCGAGAACGAGGAATTACGACAGGAAAATGCGGATCTCAAGTCCCAGCTCAGCCGAACCTCGGGCCGCAAGGCTCGCGAACATGACACTGTCGAGTCCGAAGCTAGTTCAGCTGTGTCTGATGATGTCGATGACAGCCAATCTTACACTGAGCGAAGCGGCGACGTTAGTCGGAGCACCAGAGACATTACATCGAAAAGCAACCGCTCCACCACGAGGACCAGACGCCAGGATGACTCCCGCTCCAAGGTGTCTACTCAAGTGGATAAGGAAATTTCTCGCCTTGAAAAGCAACGTGCCGATGATGCTCTCTTCTCTATTGAGGTGCCATCATCAAGACGTACATCAAACTCTAAGCCATCAAAGTCCGCTGCGTCTCGCTCTTCTGAATCAAAGAGCTCCCGAAAGCAACCCAACACGAGCAAACAGCGCGTGAAGCGAGTGGTAGTTGAAGATGTGACTGGGCCGGAGGTGTCTGAGCAGACCAAAGCTTCATCTGAAACAGACGTTACCTTGTTGAGTGTTATTGATGAACATGAAATCTCTCGTCTACGCAAGACATTGGAAGAAGAAAGAATGATGCGCAAGCAACGACGTTCGAGTGTCCCTAAGGAATCTAATCCTACAGAGACTATCAACTCGACCAGACAAAGCATTTTGAAGACCCCTGCCCCTCGCAAGTCATCTCTTCGTGAATCCAAAGCAGAAATCCCTCGCCCAGCCTCAGCCATTGGAGATATTACTACCGCCTCAAAGGCAAACACCGACGGAGATAGTAGTCTCACAGTACCAATTCCAGAGCGTTCTCGGCGCCATTCAGAAAATTCGCTGCCTGCAGTATCCCAGCGCAGGAAGCAGCGCAATGCGCCTGACATGACCTCCGCTTTCATCCTTCCTGATATCACCCTCCACCATGTGGACTTGGCGGCGGCTGATCCGTCCAGGCTGCCACAAGCCACCCAGAAAGCATTGGATACCATTGCTCGACACAATGGACAGAACTGCACAGTTTGCAATGGTCACTCCACCGACGGCACCTGCAACCACGAGTCCGTGAAGGTCGCCAAGCCCATTCCTGTGTCAGAGCGTATGCCCAAGCCATCCGTCTGGAACGAAGAACCAACTATGCGCCCCTCGCAACCCCCTGCTGTTGCTCTTGCTACTGTTCTCAAAGGCCTGGAGGACGAACTTTCTCATCTGAAGATGCAACTAGCCACATACCAAAGCGCCTACAACAAGCTCGACGCATCGCTCGGCAAGCGCCCGCGCAAGGCCCTGCAAGAAAAGATTGACAAAATCTTCAAGGACATCGACATGAAGTCCGATCAAATCTACGCTCTCTACGATGTTCTGGAGGGCCAAAAGCAAGATGGTCGTGAGATGACCGAGCACGAAATGGAAGCGACTCTTGAGTCAATTGGAATTGATGTCGGCATGTCCCATGCAGATGTCACTGGTACTACTGACAAGTCTTCTCGCCACGGCCAGATTGACTTGGATGATGAGGAGGATTTGCCCTGGGAAGGTATTGAGAGCACTGCTGAGATGACTGGCCACCTTTCTCTAGACGGTCACTGAGCGTTTATTGCATCGCATTGCGTGTGTTGATACTATTCTGGTTACTTTGATGCTAGTTTGGCGCTGTTTCATGGAGTATGGTTCCATCTGTATGTTTAATTCATTGATTTGGGTAATCGATTGTTGGTTAGGTAGTTCTTGATACTCAAAATGTCATTGTGGTCGTCCCGCGGCCTTGGAAATAACTCTTTCCATCTCTTCGAGAGTTCAATGTAGCGTAGCTCTCCTCTTCCGACCGTCTACTTTTCGTGCACTTTGTATCAGTCTCAATATCTTTGTTAATTTTTTTTAAAAATGATGGTTACACCATATGCAGTGATTGGGATACCCCAAGCGAACAGAAAAAACGCCATCGCTATGCCATAAAACAACCCAAATACCATGCAAGCCCGAAAGCGATTACAAACCAAGTCGAAGTAGCATCTAGGCAGTGTTTTCCGCACCCTCCACAGCCATAGCAGCACCCTCTGTAGCCGTCGACTTCGAAATATTAGCAGCATCTCTCTGTGAGATTTCCTCCCCAACAAAGCAGCTCAACCCAGCAAAAGCCTCAAGCAGGGTACGCGAGTAGTATTCACGCAAATCATAACCACCAGCCAGCATCCGCGCATCATTGCGAATAGGATCAAGATACTGCGACGGATAATACGACTGGAGAGAATAGTAATCGCGTTTGTCGGGCACATAGCCCATAAACGGATCGTACGGTTTCTCCGGCTCTGGCGTCTTGATCTTGCGCAGACCTTTGACAAGCCCCGTATCCGCCGCACCTGCATGATCCACCATAGAAAGATTCGTCCCGCGCTTTGTCTCCAACCGTAGCGCGGCCTGTTTCTGTCGAATGCGTTCTTCCTCGCTGCGGCGCGCGGACGACTTCTTGAGCAACACCTTGTGTCCTTCGCGCGCGATGGCCGCGGCATCTGTCGATGAGCCGGAGGCGAGTCGTGAGAGGAAATCTTCGCGTCCGGCTTGGATCTCGCGTCGCTCGATCTCGTATTCCTGGCGTACTGCTTGGCGGCGTAGTCGGGCTTCTTCTTGTTCGAGGGTCATGCGCGCTTGGAAGGAGGAGGCTTCCTCGGCTTCTATAGCTTGGTTCGTGCGGATTGATTGCATGTTTTCTGCTGCGTATTTTTGGAGTTGGGCTTCGGTTTTCGCCACGTCGATCCGGCTTACTAGGTTCGCGATTATGTCTTCTCTTTGTTCGAGGAAGTCGTCGTATGCGCGTTTTGAGTCAAACTCTTCTTCGCGACGATTCAAGCTGATCAAAATAGACTGTTAGCACTCGCACATGTTAAAGAGTGCTTCGGGGTGTTTGGTAAGAGACGTACATGTGCATCACACGCCGCCGGATATCTACTTCTCTTTCCACCCCGATATCTTCGAATGTCTGCTTGCGGAACCGATTTTTACGCAGCGTCTTGCGACAGCCAGCTACAGGACAGTTCGCGGGACCGGATGAAAAGATGCGGTCCACGCACGACTCACACATCTTGTGGTAGCATTCGGGGTTGATGAGAAAGCGCATGTCCGGGTTAAGGTATCGTGACGATTTGCAGACAGGGCAAACCTCTGTGAAAAGATGTGGTTAGCATGATACAACACAACAAATCTTAACAAGAGCTCACCGTCTTCATCACGGCGAGAAGCCGCATCAGAGGCCATGGTGAAAGTAAAGTGACGTGTGAGAGATGGACCACAGACTGGGTTGAGGCTGATAAGCAACTTATGCGCACGGACCACCTCGTCACCTTTTTGCGACTTTTTTTCTTTTTGCCTCCGACAACCCCTCTCTCTGCTCCGTTCCATTCAATTTATATTGTCAGTGCGAAGCTGCCACTGAACCTTCGCTTTTCACAAGCATGGGAGTACCGAACCCCAACCTCGACGCTCTCGAAGAGCAGCGCATCGCGCTCGAAGAGAACATTCTCCAACTTCAAAAATCGCTTTACCACTGGCGAACCTGGGAAGCGGAATACGATGGACTTCGCGAGGAGATTAGCAACCTAGAAGATGACGCCAGCACAGACGAATTCCTTGCCGTGGCTCTCGAATTCGGCGGCACGCTGGTGGATCAGAAGGAAATGCAGACAATACTTGGTTCGAAAGGTGTGATGCGGTCTCGCGGGCAAGTGGTTGATCTCCTTGGAAGACGCATCGACTATGTGCAGCAGAATGTTGCGACTATGGAGAAGAGGCTTTTGAAGGCCCAAAATGAGCTGGACGCTTTGGTCTTGAATGATCAGCCACCGCTGCAGGACGGTGCGGAGTTCCCGATGCAGGAAATTATGGAGGAGCTTGATGAGGATGGAAACGTTATCTCGAGCAAGATCAATACGCCTGGGAATGACGCTTCGGAATTGCTGGATGTGCTGAAGAAAGCTGGTGTCAAAGATATTCCGGAGACGAGTGAACCGGAGAAGACTGTTGCAACTCCTGCCGATGCTACACGCGAAGGCGCAGTGGATGAGCCGGTCAGCTCAAGGGCTGCAGATGAACAGAACGGTTCCTCCAGCGTCGACAATGCAATCCCAGAGCCAACCGGCGCATCCCTGAAATTCTCTCAGCCCCAATCTGTGGTGACTGCCGAAGACCGCATGCAACCGCCTGTGACAGACGTGAATGAATCCGCAGAAGAAGCAAGACTTCGCCGTGAAATGCTCGATTATGGTATCAACGAGGTGGGGGCTATTGTGGCAGAGTTGGAAATGGATGAGTCTGGAAGTGACGTTTCTTTTGACGAGGACTACGATTACGACTACGACGAGGAAGATAACGAAGACGAACATGGCCGCTCTCACACCCGCCTTACAGCGGAATACCACCAGCAGATGATGGAATTGGAAGCCAAGCTCAATGCCCGAGGCCTGATGAACATGGGCAAGGATACCGAGACGTTCCCCGAGGAAGTGCAGCAAGAGATCGCAAACCCCACGGAGGTTGAAACTTCTACCAAAGAGAAGAAGCCTAAGAAACGGGTAGCGTTCGCCGATGACCTTGATATCGCACCGGCTCCCGCGCCCCCGATCATCGCCGAGAAGGCACCTGCCTCACAGGCTGAGCCCCAGGTGCTCGCTGATTCCATTGTTGAACGGACCAGCCGTGCCCCAGAGCCCACCACAACCACCTCCACTGTTCCCAAGAAGACCTCACGGTTCAAAAGTGCTAGAGCCGCTGCTCCAGAGGCTACCGCTAGTGAATCTGTTACTACTGGGGCAACAATAGCAAATCCCTCAGCAGTCACCGAATCCCGCGTTCGCAGACAAGCCAACACAGCTCCATCTGTGGTGCCGCCTGTGCTCTTCCCCGCGACGCCAAAAGAGCCCAAACCATTTTCTGCACCGATCTCCGATATCGTCGAGAAACCTTCTGCGCCTCAATTCCCACATGACCGAACTCTAGCCGAAAAGGTCTTTGAGCGAAATCCCAAAAAAGGGTCCGCAGTGGCTCCTGAACTGGACCACTACGATGAAGAGCTTCACCAGAAGCAGATTGCATCGGAGTTCTTCAATATGCAGAAACGCCTCAATGGCACACCTAAAGACGATGAGGAACAGGATACTTTCCCTCCTGAGGAAGCTGAACCTAAACGGGTGAGCAAGTTCAAAGCTTCACGGATGGGATAGTTATGCAAAAGTTGGCTATCTCTTCTCTACTCTAACTATGTACATGCATGTATTTTATGTAGGAAAAGACAATTCGACTGTTTGTTTTGTTTGTCTCCCTAGTCCCCCTAGTCCCCCTAGTCCCCATCAAATCCCTCCTTCTCCTTCCCTCTCTCTTTCTCTTTCTCTCTCTTCTTCTTCCTTCTTCCTTTCTCTGACCAATGGGCTTCCTATTCCTTCTGGGTTTACCCTCAAGGAAAATACAAGGTGCATACCCCTATCTCTTCATGAGATGGGAAACCGTGGTATCACTCACCAACTGAAGTCCAAGATCAAAAGAGGGCTTCTCTGGCTGCACTCCTTCAATTCTGTCAGACCAGGAGAGAAATCGTATGATACTCGGGCTTCTCTAGGGAGGTTCAGAGCAACTACGAGAGTATTGACTGCCTGGAGGATTGATAGATGGAGGTGTGGTTTATTTATTCTCTCTCGACATCACACATATAGTTTAACCTTAAGTGAATACACTTGTGTCTCGACTTTGACTTCTCACCTGTCACCTGCCTTGTTACGTAGTCCCCCTTTTGATGCTTCCTTGCCGTATTTCCACCCTTGCCCTGAGATTGATCTGGCTTCTACCCCAATCTACACGACTGCACTGGATGTCTTTGAGATAATAAGGATTGAATTATTATTATTATCATAGAATCCCCGATTCCCTATAATTAAGCCTACATCTGCCCACGACAGAGCATAACGAACTGCAACATGATTCCCAGCATATGAACAAACGAAGGACGAAACAGCCTCACAAACAAGATGTCACGCCTGGTGCAATCTTCTCCAACTTGGTGACCAACTCCTTGAAAAACGCTTCTTGAATCATAACCCCTTTTTTATCAGTCACGATACAAGATGGACTAAAAAACAAAGTTAGCCGACTTGAGTTTCCCAAGTAAACACCAACAACCAACTGACCTGTGAACATGACAGTCTGTCAAATACTGCCCGTTACTTTTCTCATCCGCCAAGATCCCGTGTACCAAAGTACGACTACCCTCCTCAGTAGTGCGAGCCAGCACTTTTTCGAAAACACGTTGACCGAAATTGTCCGTTTCCCGCGCTAATTGGGACTTGCAGAAGCTAGGGTTTGGCGTGTTGATGATAACCAGCGGCGCTTTACCATTTGCGAACTGATTCGCAAATGCACGCACCCCGAACAATACCAGCAGCTTTGACAACGGGTATCGACCCGACATATTGGTAGCTTCTTTGTTGTTGAGCGATTTGAAAATACCGCCCTCATTTTTAGGATCCAGCTGCTCGAGAGAAGCCATGTAATGCAGACCCGAGTTTGGGATTGCGATGCGAGGTGTAATATTGAACTTGGAAGCTGACTCTCGTAGTTTGGGAACCAGTAAGAGAACAAGCAAGAACGTGCTCACCACATTGACGGTGATGGTTTTCTCGTCCTCTTCCGACATACTGAAAGTGTGGGTGAATATCCCGGCATTCGCCAGCAGAGCATCAAGGCGCGGTAGAGTTGCAGCACGGCTGGCAAAGCTTTTGACTGAGAAATAGCTGTCCATGTCCAACAGCCACACCTCGACTGAGCTTTCTTCGCGGCTGGTGGATTGCAATAGTTCTCGTTTTGCAGCTTCGCCCTTTACCAGATCGCGTACAGCCATTATCAACTTCCCCACGCCTAGGCGCAATAAGTGGCGGCTGGCCTCGAAACCGAGTCCTTGGTTTGAACCGGTTACGATGATTGTCTGTCCGCTGAGATCGCCTTCGGGGTAAGGGAGTTTGATGAAGGTGTTGGAGAACAAAACTGATGAGAAACCCTCTAGAGACGAAAGTACAGACATGGCTATTTCTTGTCTGATTGAATAGGAAGAAAAATGAATAAGACAATGGGTGAGTTGGTGAACTGGAGTATCAATGTATCACTGTTCAAATGTCGAAAGATGTTCTTCTTAACGCTTTAAATAGGAAGCCGCTTTGAATTTAAGCCTCTGGCACTCGGTTTCATTATATCCATCGTCGTCAATTCAGTTCTATCGAGGCTGAGAGATGCCTCATAGGGCTTTGTTATCTCCGTCTACTTGCGTATATATTACGCAGTTCCGTCTGCAGAAAAAGGTGTGTAATTATGGATTTAAGGTATCAATACTGTCACATAACAGACCTGGTCGGGATGGAGATAATATCTCCGCTTCGCATCGCCCCCCTCCTTTTCTATGCTCGGATATAATCTCTTAGAATACGAAAATTACTTCAAACTATTGCTTGAATATCTAAATCCATTCCTGGAAATGTCCGTGAACTTTGAAAAACGAAATCGACCCCCTCTGTCCTGCGAACCATGTCGCACGCGGAAGTAAGCATGCACCACATACTACATCCCTAAATCTGATCTCATAGACTCACCTTTCCTAGGCTGAAATGTAATAGACTTCTACCCTGTGATAGATGCATTAAGCGCAATGTGGAATCTAATTGCACATACGCTTCTAACGCTATACGCGGTAAGACGCGTTCTTCAAAGGAACGTGCCTTGAGTGATAGACTGAAGCGTCTCGAGGATACAATCCAATCATTTGTCCAAGGAGAGAATGTGTCCCATACAGCCTCACAACCGCACTCAGAAGTAGCACATACAATTAATGAGAGTAAAAGCTCTTCTGGTGCTCATGGAGTTTCTGCCGCTGCGACTGGGCTGGCTGCGAGCAATGGACTTCGCACCGGAGACCAAAATCTCCAAGACAAAGAGGTGCGCAGTACTTCCAATGCCCATCACGGTAAAAATAGCCACGTTGATTCCAGTCACTGGGTTTCTATATTGGAGGATATCAAGGAAGTTCGAGAAAGTTTATCAACCGTTGATCCCTTCTCGCTCAGCGAGCCGACAAGCGAGGGTGGAAGTGGACAATCAGACGTGAGCCTTCCTATTGGACCTGAAGCAAAATTAGACATCAAGGATATTCTTGTCTCGCTACCTACTCGTCCTATCTGTGATATGTTGGTCTCCCGATATTTCAATGCTCCGTACATGGTACTAGGTGGGATATCATTTGCGCCTACCCTCCATTGCATATCTGGCTAATTCTACAATGGCAGGTATTTTGCACTCGGGAAAATTTCAAGATGAAGTAAGTCACATACTATGTGTTGTACTTCCTTTTCGGAGTTACTCGATGGGAACATCTCTTATCCCGACTGACTCGTAACAGTATGAGGAATTCTGGAAAGCACCACACAAAGCTCCCATCCTTTGGGTTGCGCTTCTTTTTACTGTTTTGAGTGTATCAGTTCATTTCTGTATGAAACTGAACGCAGACGCGGCTTTGAATGGTACAATTCCATCGCCCGAAATCTTTCAACAGAAGACAGCGCAGTGCCTTTTGCTAGGAAGATATAGAACAGCCAATGCCTATGCATTAGAGGCATTGATTCTGTATCTTCAGAGTGGCTTTTTGGGCGATATGAAAACCGGCTCCCGACAGTGGTTCGACATGGGGATCATACTCAGGCTAGCATTCCGCATGGGCTACCACCGTGACCCCAGCACTTTCCCCGGAAAGACAACACCATTTGATAGTGAGATGAGACGTCGAGTGTGGCTGAATATCTTCCAGTTGGATGCACTCTTGAGTTTCCAGCTAGGCCTTCCAAGCATGATACCAGCTGAGTGTTGTGACACCCACCTTCCCAGGAACCTATACGAGGCCGATCTTCATGTGGGGATGCTAGCGTTGCCTCCATCGCGGCCGACCTCGGAATATACCCCTTGCCTCTATTCCATCTCTAAGGCTGGTGTAATGAGCATCTTCAAAAAGATCGTTGCACATACGATTTCGCTCGCAACACCATCTTACAGCAGGACCATCAATTTGGATGCAGAGATGAGGGGCGCTTACAGTCTACTTCCTGAATTCCTTAAACGAAGAGACACGAGTCAATCTCTCATGGATTCATCCGAAATAATCTTAAACCGATGCAACATCGAACTCATGTACCTGAAAGGACTCGTCGTTCTGCACCGACGGTATATCCGATACGAGGACCAAGACGCCAAATTCGAGTCTTCGCGACGCTTCTGTGTAGAAGCAGCTCTTGAAATCCTCGCCCGCCAAGCAGACTTACATCAAGCATTTCAACCTGGTGGCCGTCTACACGAAGACCAGTGGATGCTTTCCTCATTGACAATTCACGATTTCCTCTTAGCTGCAATGGTAATCTGTCTGGATATATCCGTGCGCCTTGAATCCCATACGACGGCGTTTGTAGACGAGCGCGCAGACCATGGCTTTGTTTCGAGAGAGATTGTCGCACTGAAGACATCCCAACGCATTTGGGCGGCTAATAGCCATCGCTCGCCCGAATCTCGCATTGCGTCACTAACCTTGGACTTGATGGCCCGGAAAGTGGCTGAGCGTCAGGCTACATTCTCGTCCAATGAGGCTGCGTTTATGGATATTCCTCGAATGAGCCCGGAGTTGCCCTACATGGAGCCAATGTCCGAAATGATTGATGGGTCTGAGACTCTGGACTGGGTAAGTTCTTTCAGGGAATCTACACCGATCATGAATAATATCTGACCGTCTTCTTTTCTTCTAGCTCTTGTTGGACCAGTATTTCCAGAACTCTGGTCTCGAGGTGCCTCAGTTAGACTCTAATGAGATGGGTGGGTTGTTTACGGATGTTCCTGGAGCACTTGACCCTTTCGCATATAATTAGCTAAAGTAAAAGTGTCGATCTCAGATATAGGAAAGCAAAGCTGCCTGACTACTTGTGATTTATGCCGATGTTGAACGCACTACATATTTAGTTCCGGAGTGTGCTGTTTAAAATCAAATAACACTTTTGTACATCACATTGAGGGTGGCTGCTTGCCTCCATGCATGCAAATGGAATATCTCATCAACTCGTTAAAGAATAACAGGGGCATCATCGTGACAGAGTCATGCAGACGTACATTAAAAAGGGCCGGAAAACGGATGCAAGGCATACTAGAGTATTCACAAGTTCATCTCCGAGTTTCTGTCCCAGATACACAGGGCACCTAGACGGAAACCCAGGCCAACTACCAGTAGGTGTAGAGAGATGGCAAGAATCTGGGTTTGAGTGCTGCGGGCTCTTAACGTAAATGCTGCAGAGAGAAGGAGAGGGTAAAGGATCCAGGGGTTGACGGCCAGCGGTGAACATGGATGAAGAAGGGATGTGATCTTGACTAGGAAAAGAGTGAGTTGTAAGACAGTCGAGGATGGCAATGGGTTCCAAGATGCTAGGGAATTAAGGATGGGGAACCGGCTCGGTGGGGGTGGAAGAAGATGATGATGATGATGATGATGTTGAGGGATTGATTGAGACTGGAACTGCGGATCGAGGGGCGGCGATGATTCATGAGAAGGTTGGGCTGGAGACGACGGTGGTGAAGCAGAGAAGCGACTCCGGAGAACCATTTCTTGATCAGGGCTAATAGAAGGACCCTCCCCTGGATTTGTGTCAGACACAGGTGCCGTATTGCTTCGGAAATGACCGGAGTCAGGTATCGAGTCACGCCGGAAAGATGTTGGGTTTCGGCGTAGATTTTTGGTGGGAGAGAGTGCCCGTTCTACTGATGGCTGCTGGCTATCCAATGGGTGGATTCGAGCCCCAGGAACGTCGGAGCTTCCCGAGCTGGCTTTCCTGAACCGGAAGTTTTCATTTGAATTGGCACCGACTTGGATGCCATTTAACACCTCGTCAGCTGAGGGCCGTCGGCCGGGATCAACCGAGAGCAAGCGCTCTAGGAACTTATACAGCTTTTCGGGGAGATCGGAGCGGATAGCTCGTGCGTGGTCAAATCCAGCCCAGCTGGTGATCTCTGCACGGAGCTGATCCAAGTCCTCTTTTTCTTCATTTATGAGGTCGGCATTTGCGTATGGAAGAGCCGCGAAACATAGAAAGTAAAGAATCATTCCGAGGGAGAAAATATCGGACTTGAACGTAAAATTGCCGAATGGTCCGTCGGGATATTCTTGGCGAAGAACTTCGGGTGCACAATATGAAAGGGTACCGGTTGCACCAGTCGACTGGCGCATTGCGTTTTGAGACTGCACCTCACCGAAATCACTGACCAAAACTCTAATTCCATCACTGGTCTCGTGAAGCAGGCAGTTGTTTGGTTTCAGATCACGATGGATGTATCCATTGGCGTGAAGATAACGAAGTCCAGATGTGATATCACGGAAGAAAGAATAGATTTCATCTAGCTGAAGCGTACGAGCTCCTCCAAGGTCATTTCGAGGCTCCGGTTCGCCTTTAGATTTGCGCCGAAGGCGGTCCTTCAATTGCTGCGCAGTGGTGGAGGTTTGAACAGAGCCACATATGTAATCATGTAAATCACCGGCATTGCAGTATTGCTGTAGAATAAATGCGCAAGGTACACTCGGGCCGAAGGTGCTTATCTTCGCGTTTTCCAGCCACACATGACGGTAGGATACAAGATTCTGATGCGAGAGATGCTGCAACAGCTGCACTTCGCCCAGAACCTTTTCCAGCCACTCATGATCGTCACCGACGGGGACACGCTTGCAGGCATAATAACCAAGGGACACACTGTCCAGGACATGCTTCACTAGTAGCACCACCCCTTTTCCACCTTTGCCCAACACTCGTTCCTCCACAAAGAACCTCTTGAAGTAGTCTGGACTGAATGCCGCAGAGGAAATTCCCTGTGGCGATGGCTGTGGGGATGAGGTAGGTTGGACGGGCCTATTATTTATAGGCCCACGGGCAAGGGCTGGCTGAACAGAACGATGTCTTGGAGAAGGAGGAGTCGAGGATGTTGCGGAGCTGGGGAGGCTATTGTTGAGCATGCGAAAGTAGTTTGGGTTAATGAATTCGCCTTCGGGTTCGGTATCCCCACAATGTCGTTCCCTGCTATTATCGCGCATGGATCGATGGCAGAATGGGCAGTTGGCTAGGTCCATGTTGTCAATGTCTTCATCTGACGTATTGCGGAGAACGAGCTGGTGAGAATCGCGGTCAAAAACAACCACCGAGTCATTGTGCCGTCTGTCCCAATTAGATAACTAGTAGCACAGATTTGGAGATCACTTACAAAACAACATCAAGGTTTCCTCCATTGTAGGGGACCATAGACATGTCGACGGGCATTCTGGTATCAATGTGAGGGTGAGAGAGTACAAGCTCCCATCGATGACGTTGTAGACCTGGGGGCGGTGAGCGTAGGGCGGTAGTGGATAGTGACAATTTGACCAATATCTCTCTTAACCTTGCTTATTCCTTGTTTGTAATCTTCTATGGTAAATAAGATGAAACTGGAGTATATTTATACCTTATCCCAGGAAAGCCCAAAGTTGCAGCCAAATTGAGACCCAATTTGGGTATTCTCAAAAAAGCTGAAACAACCACACTAGGCTGATCTATGAGTGCCCAGGTGGGGTACAGCTTACACAACGCACACAGCCCTTCCAAGATATCATGATATTCACCTCAAATACGTGGACAGAACCCCAATTCCAGCCTGATTTGAATCCCAATGGACCCGATTTCTATCACCGGTCTCGTAATAGAGGTCAGCCATGTGCTATCGAGCCTGATCAGATATGCCAAAGCGGTGCAGACGGCAAAGTCCGAAGTGCGAAAACTCAGCGAAGAGCTCTTTGCTCTGAAAGGGATCTTGGAGCATCTGACAGCGCAGATGGATGATGCCCCTAAGTGGGAGGAATCTGAAACAAGCCCATTCGACCGCGACGTCATGGCGAGAGTGCTGCATACAACAAATGAGTTCCTCCAATCCTTACTCATGGACTTAGAAACGGCTGAGACCAAGTTTAAGCGCCTCAAGCAAACTCTGAAATGGCCCTTTACTCAGACGCAAGTCAGTGAGCATTTGATCCGTCTTGAAAGAGTCAAATCGTGGTTGATACTGGTTCTCATTGCGGACCATAAATCGGTGGATCGGGAGATGCAGCATGAGATTCGTGATCTGACAAACACATTGAAGGAAGACTTGCGGATTCGAGCTCAGGAGCGGAATCAATTTGCTAACAGAGAGCTTGTGCAATGGATAGCCCCTGTAAGCCCCGAAAGCTCTCATCTGCGGGCGTCAAAAAGACATAGAAATGGGACTGGTAGATGGTTTGTCGACGGTCATTTGAAGGCGTTTCTTAATCAAGATGAAAATCGGGCTTTCTTCCTCTTGGGAAAATGTATGTACCCATTGCAATCTCTGGGACATTTCACTGACATGGCTTTGAAGCCGGAACTGGAAAATCTACGCTGTTGTAAGTTCCATTTGGCATTGGGGTTGCTTCCTATATCTGACATTCGCTAGTGCACAAGTTGCCGATGAACTCACTTATATGGCTTCTCAGGGCCAATCCATGTGTGTTGCTTATTTTTATTGCACAATTAGCGATTTCGCCTCCCAGAACGCAAGGAATGTTCTAGGATCGCTTGTGGCACAGCTCTCGGTCACAGTTCCTTCAATACTGGACGAGATTCGGGCTGTCTACAAGAAAGGCCCAAAGAATCAGGCGCATAGGTTCCCCATCGAATTATCCGTTCTCGAAGCTGCAATCGCTAAGGCTGCTTCCGAAAAGACAAAGATTGTTCTTCTGGTTGATGCAATCAACGAAAGTCACGACATGCAGCTTCTTGAAGCGTCCCTTCTCAAGCTTTCTAGTCTTTCTACAAACATCCGCGTACTTATAACCACTACAAGCACCATGAGTTCCATCAAGCACCCCGATGCATTTGTCTTGAACATAAGCGGAAAATCGCGAGGGGACATTGGTACTTTTATCAAATACCGTCTCCAGACTGATAATACGTTGAGAAATCTAGCACCAGAATTCCAAGCGGAGATTGAATACACACTTCTTCGAAATGCCGATGGATCGTCAGTATAGTATCGATCCCCATGCCTTCTGTGGTCTAATTATTTCTTCACAGATTCCGCTGGGTCCAGCTCTCATTGGACAACCTAAGCACGCAGCGATCTGTAAGGGCAATGCGACAGGCCTTGAAAACCCTCCCAGGAACTTTGCGCGAGACATATGCAAATATGTTGGAAAGAATTGCACCTGATGATTGGAAGATTGTTCATGAGGCCCTCTTTTGGCTCAGTTTCACCAAACAGCCTCTTACTTTGAAGAGCCTCAACGAAATCGTGGTCATGGACGAGACAAGTGTGACACTCGAGAAGGACATGATGCTTGTTCCTCCACATATTCTACTTGAGATTTGTCAGGGACTCATCACTGAGGACCAAGATGGCTATCTCAATCTCGCGCATGCGTCTGTCAAGGATTTCCTAACATCTGATTGGATTCGCTCATCTCGAGTCCAATATTTTGCCCTGGATCCTACAACTGCAGATCTGAAAGCCATGCACAGTTGTCTCACGTACCTGAGTCTGGACAATTTCGCACAGGGATACCTAGCATGTCCCGAGAACCCAGCCAAAGTACGACAGTCTCATCCTTTCATGAAGTATGCTACAAACTTCTGGCCCCAGCATGGTGCTGCTTGCGGCTTTGGGGGTCCCAAGCAAGACATGATCCATAAATTCTTTGCCACAAGGTCTCTTCCCGGCGGGGGCAATTATGGCACGTGGATACAGGCGTTGTTACAGACAACCGCTGGTTCAAACACGAAAGATGCTGTGGCCATTGACGGAACACATCCGCTATACTACGCTGCCTCATTTGGGATGGTTCCAGTCGTCGAGTCTATTATCGCTGCCGAACCAGACATTGATATCAATGCTCCTGGTGGCCGTATTGGAGCTACACCCGTGTGGATTGCTAGTCTTCGCTTTAACTTTGAAGTCGTGGATATCCTCCTGCGTGCTGGAGCTGATCCATCCATCCGGGATCCAGGTAGTGGGTTTAATGTGCTTGATCTTTTGAGGATGGTGCCGACCCGTCATCGGAACTACCATGCCCTTCGTCCCATTTTAGACCGCCCAGCACCTTGGAAGGATCAGTTGAAAGAACAAGGTGGAAATCAGTGCAATTTGTTAGAAAAAGCCAAGTGAAGTTGGATTTGACCAAGCCTGTCGCTATTTTCTGCCACGCTTCTCTCCCCAGATTCAACCCGTGGTTGAAGAGTCCGCGGGTGGAACCACAACCAACCTCATCTGAGCCTCCAACTGTCCACGGGTGCCTCAGCCGCAGGTGCAAGATGGGATTATAAAGCAACATGTACGAAGATACCAATTACAGCTAATCTGAACAAGAGAAAGGGTTTAAGTAAGAATTATTTTCATTCATTTTGATTCCTCATCGAATCGGGTATCTGAGTTGGAGCTAGTGACTGAAAAACACCGAAACTCCTAGGGTTGTACAAATTATGTACTGGGGTGCTCACGTTGATCACGTGGCTTTTGGATGACAGGCACTCTTCAGGCCTGGGCGACATGTCGCAAGGCAGCCTTCAGACTTCTGTGCGATAAAAGCACATGCCGAATGCCTGGTGGAGAGCCAAGTCCGCTCAAGGCGGACATGGTGAGGAATGACTCGGCTAGAAGCTCTGTTGTTTCAAGAGCTAGCATAGCCGATCTCATGGCGGCAGACTGTCTATTTTTCGTAGGGCGGAATGGGGATGACACTCGAGTGCCGTAGAGAACACTAAGGGATCAATCACTCCTCCTCGCCACTCTCCACATCGCTGACCTCCAAGTTGGCGATCGAATCATTATCGCTGTCCTCGGCATCGACGGCCTCCTCGTCCTGGGCGGACTCGGACTCAGCCTCGGCTTCCTTAGCAGCGGGCTCGTTGTTTTCATCCAACTTGCGCTTGCGGGGCATCTCGCCGAGTCGACCTTCACGGCCCTCGACACCGTCGACAGGCTCCTCGTCCTTCTCGCCCTTCTCACCCTTTCCGGTACCCTTAGGTGGGGGTGTGTACCAAGGGATCTTTCCACGAAGGAAATCGTTGATAACCATCTTGGCAACACCATCCAGATCGGCTTCGCCTCCCTTGAGGAGACGGCCACCCTGGCGAGCAAGAAGCGCGAGCCAGTCGAGGTAGTTCTCCTGGTGCTTGATACCGTAGGTGCGCTCAAGGTGACGGGGAAGGACACGGCGAAGAACTGCAGGAATGTATTGCTCAGGGTTGTGAACGTTCTCCACTCTGCAAACTCCACGGAGAAGGATGTCCTCCTCGGTGTCATTGACATTGGGCGGGACCACACCGGGACAATCGATGAGATAGATTCTCTTCATCAGGGTGATGTACTGCCACACCTTGGTTTCACCAGGAATGGGAGCGACTGTGCACACCTTCTTGTTGCGGAGAGTGTTGATGATGGAAGACTTGCCCGAGTTGGGGTAGCCGATCAGACCAACAGACACCTGCTTGCGGTCGGAATGAAGGGACGAGAACTGGCGAAGCAGCGAGATCAAAGAACCCTTACCGAAAGAGTTGTTGATATTGGCATGGAAAGCAAGACAGGGGTAGTCCTTAGAAAGATGACGAACCCAAGCGGCCTAGTCAAAGATGCAAAGTTAGCAATCAGTCACTAGCAATGAATGAAACATTGTGTAAAAGTAGAATGTGTGGGATGTTACTAAGAAGTCTGCTACATAGCCACCAAAAAGGCAGAAGCAGACTTCTACTCAAAAACAAAACACAGCTGGCCCTTTGCGACAGGCCTTCAAGACGAAAGCAAGTCAACCTAGGTTCATAACGAAATTCGGTGCGGGCCAGTGTTAATATACCAAAGCTGTAACAGACGGAATTCCATTGAAACAAGCACAACCGAAGTTGTGCACGACCGAAGTCGCAGGAAGAGGCCTTGACTTAGCGATGGAACAGGGGGATAACAGAAAAACGCAGGGCAACAAAAAAAGCAAGAACGAAGTGATAAAAATGAATAGCAAAGGGGAGATAGTGAGACTTACAGCAACGCCAGTGGGGACGAGATCACACTTGTTCAGAACGAAGATCAAGTGCTTGTGTGGTGCCTCCTCGCGAACGTATTTCTCAACACTTCTGCAACGAGTACCTTCGGGATCACGGGAATCCAGGACATGGATGATGACATCAGAAGAATCGATGACCTTGTAAAGTTCGTTCCAGATACGCTTACTCTGTCCCTTGGAGAAGACAGATTCACGAGAGGTAGTAAGTAGACCCAGGTCTTCGACCGCGGCAGTGTCATCACCACGAACAATCGCACTTCCATCAGCATGAGTTCCCTCATCGTTCTTCTCGATGTAGCTGTCCTGCATCTTGGCTGTCTCGCCAGCGAGGTCTTCGAGAGACGACACGCCAAGCTTGACGCGCTTGCGCTGAGCCTTGGGGCCGAAGGTATCATTGAAAGGAGAAGTCTCAATGGCCATCTTAGCCTGGTGTTGCTTCAGGCCGTTGACCTTGTCATTGTCCCGAATCAAGCTCATGGGGAGCTTGTTGGTCTTGAGAAGAACTTGGTACGGGTCGGCAGCACGCTCCGCAACAGCATCACGGAACGAGGTCAAAGCCTCTTGTGAGATGACACGGGAGTTAGCAAACCATTTACGGTTTGGCTCGATGCGAGCTGTCGGCAACTCGCGAGATTGATAACTCGCGGCGACTGTGATTTCACCCTGTGCGTTGCGGCGCGGCGTACCATCCTTGAACATGTTCAAGGTCTTGATCTTCTTGGCATCACTGGGAGGTAAGTCAGTATTGATTGATTGAGGATGGTAGGGATTTTCGCTGAGGCTGTACATACCGGTAAAAATTTTCACCTTTGGTCTTGACGTTTGCCATGCCATCTTTGGGCTGCCCCTGCCGCACCTTACGAGCGGCCTCCTTCTTTCCTGTACCCATGATAGCGGTTGTGGGTTGAAATGTGAAGGGAGAAGTAAGTGCCTGACGAAAAAAAAATCGAAGGCAAGACCAAACACAGAGAGTGGCAGAGAGCAAAGAGAAGAAGAAGAAAAATAAAAGGCGGCGAAGGAATTATTTTTTTTTGGCGCCAAGAAATTGCCGTGCACGGACCAAGGGAAAATCGCTTCTGTTTCTTCCGACTTACTCGACCGCGTATCCTCCCTATTATACGGTAATCAACCTCAGGTTACATCCCGGCTTAATTGAAGGTTGTGTCGTTGGCCTTTGATTTGATTATTTACTTTGCAACAATCCCCTGCCAGTTTTATCACTCCCCGGAGTGACAGGGTTGAATTGCGCCGCATGTCTGTCCTCCGCAATAGCCGGACTGCCACCGTGCAGGTCCGTGGATTTGCTTCCTCCTCCAACCTTCGAGTCGGGCCCGAATCACCTCACTTCATCGATGTGCCGAAAATCATTCAGCCCACCAACCCCCGCAAACCTCACGTCAGGGGTACTCTTCCCGTGCCTCGCGAGCTCTTCCCGGCCCGCCGAGCGGACAAGCCCCGGATACAATATCTCAATGCAGTCACACCACTCCCCAAGACGGAACGAGTAGTGAGCCCAAATAGCAGCAACCCCGAGAAGCAGGAATGGAAGCACAAGATGGCAGATCTGCGGAGACAGAACCTGCGGGACGGTCTACGAGACCTGTACTCGCGCAAAAGGTCCGCAGATTCAAAGATTGTCAGCCGCAGTCTTGAGAGTCAGAATCGGCGGGACCGCATTCTTCAGCAACCCGAGCGTGAGGACGAGCGCCTCACTCGGCCATCGACCATCGAGGCGATGATGCCCCACAAACAGCCAGTTTTGCCCGACCCCAACCGCGAGGAACGCCTTGCACTCTCTCAGGCACGTCTGGAAGCAAAGCAGGCACAGAAAGAGATCGAGCGGAAGGAGCACCTCCAGTCGTTGTATGTGAATGCTCGCACTTTCATTACTACTGAGGAGCAGCTCACTGCTGAGATCGACCGGGTATTCCCCGAGGGCGAGAACCCAGCGTGGCGCAACGACCACCAGCCCGGCGAGAACATCTGGAACTTGGGTAACCCCCCAACTGTGTTCAACCTTGCCACCAAGACCCGTTCCAACGAGGCTATTCGCTGGGATGTCTCTCAGGAGCGTGTTAAGAAGCTTGCCGAGGCACTTACTGGAGGTAAGCTGCGAGAGTAATCGATTTTTTTTTGGCATCATGTACAATATCTATCAAGCTATAGCATTTCAAAGCTCAAATCAAGAGATCCTTTGAGATCCTTCTATTTTCTCAAGTCGAGTTCCCGCTGCACTTCAATGCCAACGCGAGTAAGGTCCGCCTAAGAGTGAAGACAAGCAAATAACAAGATTATGGCAACCAAGTAGCCTCACCAAGCCAACCACCAACACTCATATCTCCACACACCACATCCAAGGCTCAGTCCCATCAGCAACATAAATCCTCCAATTTAAGTACCCATCATCCGAGCAGAAGAGGGAACCCCTCTATGAACAGTGGATGACTCCTTAGGTTAATTCAAGTAGCACACTTCAATGCTGTTTAGTGATCACAATTTTCTATCTGATTTCCACAAAGCCCTATGTTGTTGTAGATGTTCTCTGGTCTCGGCCGGTTTAAAGCCTCGTAAGATGGGTACAACTCGCGGAAGTCTCATAGTGCCTCTATATCGCAGCTCTTTGAAGGTATATTTGGTGTGGAGTAGTTGAGCCTTGCTTCAAGTTATGCGTTACTCTATGTCTTAAATCCTAAATAATGAGGAATTACAGAGAAGAAGGGCCGAAGATGAACATGGAAATTTAGATAATCTACTTGAAGAGACAAGAGACAGCAATAGAGACGATAACAAAAGACCATGGCAGCAGGAGATGATGACAACAAGGAACCACAGCAACAACGGACAACAACAAGAGATATAGGAACAAGACAAGAATAGAAGTGGAACCATAAGAAGGAACCTTGAAGAGAAGAACTGTCCTCAGGAAGGAACTCTTAGACAACAGAGTGCTATCTCTGTGGGGGGGTTCCAAAAATTGGCTCAAAGAGCACGGTGTTCAGCTCCCATAGGTCAGTGGAGACCCCAGGAAAGTACAGTCTGTTATCCACAGAGGGCGCGGGGGGAACGAGTCCGGGCCGCGACATGCTTCGTGCCATTGGACCAGGGCCGAGGCCCCTATCCATTGTCAGACTAACCTGCACCGCAGCAAAGACCAAGGGAGACTGAACGTCCAGGAACCACGGTGTGCAATGTGGACCTGGAGGGTTGAAGGAAGAAAAAAGAAGAGAGAGAAAAATGGGGAGGGTGGAGGTATTTATACCCTCCCAGTGGCTGAAGGCAATGGGGAAACTGGGGTTGGTGACGATTTTTTGACCAAAAAGGGAAGGCACCTGATCGGGGAAGCATATGCTTATCACATCTGGCTGCTTCCACTATGGGAATTGCAAATGGCCAAGACTTCCAGTCTCATTATGTACACATCCAGCAGACTGATTCCAGAATACAGTATGATTTGAACATGGACCAATCCAATAATGGCCACAGCATCACCTCCATAGTTCTTCATCACATACAGGATCTTCCAGATCCTCGCCAAAGTCATGATTCGCAAGATCGGATATTGGGCTTCTATGGGGTACAATCATGCTTGTAAGTTCTAATGAGTGAAACCATAAGACTTCTTCACTAACAATATCTATCTTACTCCTTCAGGTTCGTCCCACATCGAAAGACCATGGCTGGACTGAACTATTCCCCGGTATTCTCTATATTCCCAGTATCCGGTGCCCATGCTACGTGCTACAGAATTTTAGCGCTATCTTTTATCTACTTGGATGCATTGCCTTGGGCGTTGGCAGCTTCCTGGCCTATGGGATGATGGAGATGGATGGGCAGACCAGGATCGGCGGTTGGAAGTGGATCTTTATTGGGCGATTATGCTCATCGCCAAGGTTTCACTTCTGAGAGAACCCATGCTGATCAGTGCAATACAGCTCAAAGGCAGCCTGACCTACCCTTTGAGCGCCAGCTCCTACGTTTTCATAGTCGACCTCCTCGAAACCCCCCTCCAATCCTAGAGACTTCTCAACGGAACCGAAGCTTCCTTTGCCATTGCCAAGTCGGACGTGACAGAGCAGTTGCTACTATGGGGCCTTTGTCTGTGCCTTGTAAGCCGCAAAGGCAGTCTGAGCATACATCATCCTTCTAGTGTTGACCACCACGACCACCACGACCACCTGCTCGATTGCGTACTTTCTGCTGGTTATTCTGGAAAATTTATGGCATGTGCGTGGTCCTTTTCTTGCTGAACATGCTGTTGTTGAGCTTGTCGGGCTTGAGATGTTGGAATACCTTGGAAATGCAGCATCCCAATACCTTAGCCCTTTCTCGGCTACTATTGCTGGTGAGTGAACTGTTATTTGTGTCGTGGTCATGGCTTTACTGGCATACTTTAGCAAACTTGAACCGCCCAGAGCTCATATCTTGGGAAAGGTAAGAGCCTCGCCTCTTGACTATTGCGTTTCATTTCATACAATTGTGACATATCCTTGCTCTAGAAACAACATCCACAGCCAGTGGAAGCGACCCTTCACATCAACCACACTCATTGGCGGAGGCAGTCTCGGAGGGGGGCATTGTTAGAACAACGGTTTGCCGCGCTCGGGGTGCACTGGATTACCAACCAAGTCTACGTTGCGGTATGCTAGTGCACTGACACTAGAATCTTGTCGTGGGTCGATGCCGGTGGAAAGCCAATTGAGGGACAGGTTGGGGTCAAATATACATAGTGATGAATGACCGAGTACTATAGAGCGGTTTACCTTTTCTGATATCTTGCTAGATTGATGGCTTGCCTCATGACTGGCAACTATCAGTTGGAACGATATGTGATTTATCTAAAAGAAGAATATATGAACTTGGAAGCCTTCAAATTGCGTGTTCGTCCTGATGATATATCGATAATGAAAGACTTGGGAAAACAAACATGTAGTGCTGGCCTGAGGCCACCGCCAACCACCATCGGAATATCAACATATGTATTGACCATGCATCTCACACTGTCCTAGAAATGAATTAAAAGACCCAAAATCAATCACAGCATATTCCTCTATACATACGCACCGGTATGAGATACAGATCACACACACAGTGCTCTTTTTGGTCCACAAACAAAGCAAAAACCTTAAAAAAAGCGTAGGATAAAAGTAAGAGCAACCTAGTACTAGTATCCCCAACAGCAGGTGGCCTAGTGGTAACATGACAATGTGTACCACGAGGGAAGTGCCGAAGATCTTCCACTACCTGGACTGTTCCGGTTCGACTCCGGTCGTTCTCGCGTATATCCCCTCTTTTTTTTTCTTCATCTTATTTTCATCATTACTTTCATCTTCATTATCTCCAATATTATATTCCTCAGCCAGATGCGTCCGTATACTTCGGAACGGAAAATACATGCCCCAGGCCCACAACGCACGTGATTCAGATAAGCCGATAAGCAATTTTCCCTCCGGCAACCCCCCCGAAAAAAGAAACAGAAGCCCAGAATCACTTCGTGCTGCTGGCAGTGCTACTTTACAAAATTCGTCTACTTCTTTCTCTTGTGTCTATCTACATACCAAATCCATTTTTTCAAATCCCCACCCCAACACAAACATGGTGCAAGGATCATTGAAAAAGGTCGGTCCCACCGGCCCAGGCAGGAAGTAAGTGTGCCACTCGCGGACAGATAAAATCACAAATCCACCACAGTCGGCAGTGCTATTCATTCATCCCGGAGCAATTAAGTTAACAAAATCTTTCACTAGGCCCGCCAAGACCACAAGACCGGGTGTCCGCTCCGTCGCGCCTAAGAAAGCCGGCCTGATCAAGCAGAAGAAACTCACCAAGGTACGCACCAATTCACTTCTAGACTGTCATCCGTGCCCTGTGATACAAGAACAGGACCACAAGACCTAAAAGACAAGACCGAAGGAATAAAAATCACTAACACACCGCTCTTTAGCAACTCACATCCGGCCTCGTCTCAATGACAGAACGCAGTCTGGCGACAAAGGCAGGCCATCTTGAGCTGTTGGCTGGTGGAAAGAAGGATCGTCTGCAGAAGGAGCGTAATGCTGCTCGCAAGGATGGGACTTTGGCTCGCAAGGATGGAGGTTTGAAGTCTGGTCCTAAGAAGGCGACTTGAATGAAGGGCGGGGAATTTAATGGATTGAGATGTTTTTTTTTTCTTCTGATTCGATCGTGTTTGCAATTCGTCTATACAGAGCTCGTTATATGAGTGCATGAAATCGATACCCAGTTTCTATTGTCTTTTGGTTCGGGTGGTCTACATATATCTATCCCTGATACATACAAGGTAGGTAGGTAGGTAGGTAGTATGAGATGGATGTGAAATGAAGTAGAGATGAAAAGCAGCTTCTATATGACAATCAATAGTAATTCTATGTACAAATTGTGGAAAATATCAACCGAATAAAATAGAAACATGCGCGAAATCATCAAATCATAAGCGCAGAGCTTGTATGTAAAAAGTCATGATGCATCCAATAGAAACAACGAAATCTCGAAAAGAAAAAGAAACGAACGAAACCAAAAAGCCAAAAAAAAGGGTATCTATAATTCTAACTCCAATGCCATTACCATCCAAACCATATTCGCAGATCACTGCCATCCCGGTCTCAGAACTTCGAGATGCGGCTCGGAACACCAGCCTGCTCAATCAGGTCCTGGCCACGCTCCATCCAACCATTGAAGCCGGCATCACTGGAGTCCGAAGGGAAATCATCCCACACGGCATTCTCCGAGTCCGCATACGTCGACCAGATGCCCTTGGGGACATCGGCCGCAGACCAGGAGGGCAGTTTCGCCAGCACGCAGGTGTAGTAGACGTAGAGGATGCGACAGAGAAGCTCGACGCGATCGACGTAGTGCTGCTGTGAGGGATCGGGGGTTTGACCGCCATCGCCGAGTCGCTTCCACCAGCTCACGCGCCATCGCAGCGTTAGCAGGATGTGGCCGAGTTCGCCGAGGAAGCGGACGTGCGTCTCGTGGGAGATCTGCTTCCACTTGATGTTGTAGAAGTCGCGCTCGAGCTTGCGGAAGCCCTCGACTTCGAGCATGCGGCAGAAGATTCGGGAGAGTTGAGCGGCGAGGAGGATCTCGCGTTGGTCCTCTGGGCTGTTGATGTCCATTGTTCGTTCCTCGCCTGCTGGGTCGAGGGACACGAAGCTGTACTTGGCGCGACTAGGCATGTTGTTCCACTGGGAGAGAAGGGTCTGAGGATGGTTAGTTTGATGCTCTCGGGATTGTGGGACAGTGGACACTTACATAGGCTTGGTTCATTGGGTCACAGTCGACAACGCAGGACAACCAGTTCTTGGACTTGTCCTTCGAGTCAACAATTCGTCGGTCGATGAACTCTAGGAAAGTGGACTTCGAATTGCCGTTGTACTCGCTCAGGGTCTTCAGGAACTTGTAGGTCTCTCCTAGGTCAAGGACATAGAGAGAGCCCCAGGCCTGGCTAGCGCGGATGTTGAACCGCCCTTGGCGCTCAGCGAGCAAAGACAGGAGTTGACTGAGGTCGAATTCAGATGGAATCTCCATCCGGACTCGGTTGGAACCATCCACAGTAGGGTGGTTGATAGCTCGTTGAGCTAGATAGGGTCAGTCAATTTGAACTATCCGTGGGGAGGTTTGATCAACGCTTACAGATATAGTTGCAGGTTCCAAACTCGACAATGCTGGAGAAGCATGCACGAGCACATGGTTGCTCATGAAGTGTGGGGCGACAAGCATCGCAAGGGGCGCTTCCGTCACACTGCAGACATGTTAACTTTATCCAAATACAGTAATTTAGTTGAAAATCCTTACCTTGCGCTTGTTAAGTCGACACTGAACACAAGTATCCTTGTTTTTCCGGCGGAGGCCTGCATTGGCCCGTCCAACCATACTCAATGGGCCCTTGCGACGCGCGCCACGTGGGGGCGAGACAAAGTCCGCAGACGCAATAGAGCCGCCTTGTCCATCCTCCTGGACAATTTGTAAGGGCCTTGCGATGCTTTGGTCCATTGAGGCAGGGTTTCTGGCCTTGCGCTTCTTGACTGTAGCCGAGGTCTGCATGGCGAGTGGTGCTGGTCGACCGGCACGCTGGCCAGCAGTCGACGAAGCCCTCGATCTACCAGGAACAGTGGAGACTAGAGACTCCACGGGTGCCTCACTCACCATGAAGGCAGTGGTCTTGAATGTAGACTGCGACCCCTCCGGTGAACTGGATTCATGCGGTGAGGTCTTCCACTGGACATCGTCGTCTTCCAACTGACGGTCCGCAAATGCAGGGGCCTCGTCGCTAGTAGCGGAGTAGGAGCACTCGTATATTCCCGACAAATCGCCCGACACTGAAGAGTTTTCGGATTTGAATTGGAACTCCTGTCCCATTTGTGCGTTTCGCGGGCCAGCAGTTTGAGAAACCGGCGCGATCTGTTGGGTGGGCAGTTGGGATTCCAGACTATTAAGCCATCGCGATTCCAGCGATCTGATAGAAGTCTGGAACCCTCGGAGGGAGTGATCCTTGGAGTTCTCCTGTGTTTCCACAGAAATTGGCATGGACTCTTGTGGCAGAGACATACTGTCCACTGGAATGCCATGTTGAATTTCAGTCCACTCCTCGGGGATCATGGGGAAAGACTGCGGAATCTGCTGGAACGACATGATGCCCTCTGCCGGGGCATCCGAGAAACCACCGTGAGGCATCTCTCCAACATCATCGACAATGACAGCGCCGTTCGAGTGGGCCGGTCCTTTCGCGTAGGGGTAGAGAAGAGAGGCATCCATCGGCATGCTCACTGAGTTGTACAGTTGAAAGTGTGGCCAAGCCTCGTCCGAATGGTAATTTTCGTCGGCGGAAGATGGGATGGTCTTGGGGCTAAGAGTGCCACTGCCGGTACCCTCGGCGAGGCCATCGGGGTAGTTCAAGTTCTCGGGTGCTACATCGTGCTTTCTGAAACAAGACAAGTGTCAGCCACATCAACATCGCGCTTCGCGGTCTCACTTCAGAGAGGGGTTTCCGGACCTGTTCTCCAGACGACGGTATTCACCGGCCAATGGGCCATGGAAGGTACCTAAGTCCGCGATATCCGCATCGCACTGGCTGGATTCTTGGCTGGTGTCCCACTCGGGGGGTTGGTCATAACCCAGATGTTCCCATGAGGCGACAGAAAAAGTGCCTTCAGTTTGCCAATTGTCCAAGATTTTGGGGTCGATCCCCGCAGCGGTCCCAGTACTTTCACAGTCCATACAGGATGAGGGTGAGGTGGCGGCGACGACCTAGTTTAGCAAAGATCCCAAAAAGACTTCGCTTTTTGAGACTTTGCGGGTTCAGGTAGGTGGCAGAATTGAGTTGTGTAGTGAAGAGGCGAAGATGTTCCGACGTGTCCGAGTATCGAATAGATATATAGTTGGTAGTGACTTGAACAGGAGAGAGTTGAGGGGCCAGAGGATAATTGAAGGGCTGACGGGATTCCCCACCTCAAGATTTTCTGCGATCGTCTTTAGCGCGTTGCTGGCACAGACCACTTTAGGATTTCTCTTTTATTTACAACGATGTACGATGAAAATCGATTTTGATGACAGTTGGATTTAAATCTTTGAATTCCAGCTAGATTGATATACATATTGATATACAAAAAGAAGTATATAGGCCAAGTGTCAATCACCATGATATTGTACTTTGTATACCCTATACCGGCATGGCGATCTCCGACAGGATCTCCGGCACGAGGGTGGTCTCACTGGTCTTACGAGAGGGAGATGGTGTGAGATTAGCTGTTCGTGGCAATCTCCTGAGCTATGAATGGTCCGACCTAACAAGTTTTTAATGTAGGCGCATTAGGCATATTAAATGTAACCCCCTCAGTTCTTCATCCTTCATCCTTCACATAAAAAAAAACATAAAAAAATTTCCATGCAGACCTTGTTCTACCGTGTAGGTTGCAGCACTGTCTTGGCATTTCTTAGGTAAGCATGTAGGTATGGATTGATTACCTCATCGTCCTTTTTGGGCTTTAAACTTCTGACTATTTAAAACCCTAGAAGTATAAGAAGTATAGAAGTGCAAATATAGGTTATAGACTACTATTATGTTTATATATCCATAAATATCTATATATATACACACACACTTGACATCCATTTCTAGACTATGAGATACATGCACCATATGACTAGTCATACCTAGTTGGCATACTTGAACCAGCATTTACAATGAACTATAGACTCCGAAGTCCTATTATCATCCTGGATGATATATCCTACTAACTCTCGACTACTCCAAGCATATATGTTGTAGTACATAAATGTCTACCCCTCTGCAACATACCAACGTATCAATAAAAAGCACATGGTCAGCACCTCCGAAAGAAAACCGAATCGGTTCACCGCACGCTGCATTCGGCCCTACCATTGCCGTCCCCGCAGCCTGAACGGCCTCACCCCCCAATGCCCCGGTGTGTAATTCGGTGTGGCCAATGGCTCATTCCTTACCCTGATTCCCCCAGGTATAAGTGTCCTGCACCCCGAGTATTCCCGGGGTGCAGAAATATTTCCTTTCTTTTGTTTCTTTTTCTCTTTTTAAAGAACTAGAGAAGAACAAAAAAATCCCAATCCAAACCGCCACCGGGGAAACTTAGGTCAAAGTCAAGATCCAAATCAAAACTCGAATATTCACCTTTAACGCCCTTGGCGCTGCTTAATCCCGTCATGCACATCCTGGTAAGTGAGATCACCGGCAAAAAAATCCTTTCTTTCTATTTTCTCCCTACCCTGGCAAAAATGTATAGAAAGCCATTTTCTGCAAGGATCTGCTTATAGATCCGGCATATTTCCTCCGGAGAATCCACCCTGTTTCCTTACGCCCGGGCAATACGTTGCACAACGTAGATAAAGCAAAAAAAAGAAAAAGAAACTAAAAAATAACCAAGACAAATAAACTAACAATCCAAAATAGGTCGTCAACGACGATGGTCCGCCAAGCACCAAGCTTTCACCATACCTCCGACCTCTAGTCGACACCCTCAAAGCAAACGGCCACCAAGTCTCCGTAGCAATCCCCGCAGCGTCCCGCTCATGGATCGGCAAAGCCCACCTAATCGAAGCCTCCCTAACAGCCAGCTACGTACACCCAGACGCCTT